AACCAACCTGAGCAAGAGCGAGACCCCCGTCTCTCCTGTAAATAGAAAGGAATTAATTGGCCAACTAATAGAAAAAATTAGCCAGGCATGGTGGCGCATGCCTGTAGTCCTAGCTACTCGGAAGGCTGAGGCAGGAGGATCGCTTGAGCCCAGGAGTTTGAGGTTGCTGTGAGCTAGGCTGACACCATGGCACTCACTCTAGCCTGGGCAACAAAGCGAGACTCTCTCTCTCAAAAAAAGAAAAGAAAATTATGGCCTTGATTTCTTTCACATATTCTATTTTTTATTATGTCAGTTTTGGAAGGTTATATTTTTCTAAAAATATTCATTTCCTCTAAATTTTTAAAATGTATCTGTATAAAGTATAATATTCTCATCATTTTAGGTAAATGTAGGATGTTTACTTTTTCATTTCTAACATTGGTTATGATAGCTTATCTCTTCTTGTTCAGTTTAAGGGCTTACTAATTTTATTTGTCCTTTTAAAGAATCACCTCATGGCTTTGTGGATTCTTTCCATTGAAAGCTTATTTCCTATTTCTTAATTTCAGTTCATATTTTTATTATATGGTGCTTTCTGTCACTTCCCTGGTGAATCCTAGCATTCTCTCCTAGACAATCTGTTCAAAATGTGAGAATCTTCAACAAGCCATGATTTTGGGAATAAAATAAATAAAAAAAAAATGTGAGAATCTGCTTACTATTCTGGTTCCTGTCTATCAAGGAGGCACAAACTACCTCTAGTCTAGTTGGCCACCTTGATCCTATGTATGCTTCAAGTTTTTAAAATTATTCCATGTTTCTTCTCTGTTAGCTTATTTACACATTGTCTTATTATTATTTTGGTGATCACTCTAAAGATTACAGCATGGATCATTGATTTATCAAAGACTAATATTAAGTTTTACTACTTCCCAATAAAAGAACCTTGTAGACTTAAATTCTATTTATCTGTTTATAAATTGATTTAAATTCTATTTATCCTTTCTTATGTGCCATTTTTTTTTTGAGACAGAGTCTCGCTTTGTTGCCCAGGCTAGAGTGAGTGCCGTGGCGTCAGCCTAGCTCACAGCAACCTCAAACTCCTGGGCTCGAGTGATCCTTCTGCCTCAGCCTCCCGGGTAGCTGGGACTACAGGCATGTGCCACCATGCCCGGCTAATTTTTTATATATATATCAGTTGGCCAATTAATTTCTTTCTATTTATAGTAGAGACGGGGTCTCGCTCTTGCTCAGGCTGGTTTCGAACTCCTGACCTTGAGCAATCCGCCCGCCTCGGCCTCCCAAGAGCTAGGATTACAGGCGTGAGCCACAGCGCCCGGCCTTATGTGTCATTTTTATGGCTCTTAATTTTTTAAAAAAATTCCTACTTCATTTCTGGAATTTCCTTCTGCTACAAGAATGATCTTTAGTATGTCCTCTAGTGTCAATTTGCTATTGACTAATTCTCTTGGCTTTCAGTTGATTGAAAAATCTTTGTTTCTTCTTCTTGAAGGATAAGTTTGACTATAGGATTTTGAATTGCTAGTTATTTTCTTTCAGCAGTTAAAAATTATTCCATTGTCGTCTTCCCATTGTTTCTGTTGAAGTCATCTTTTAATCTAACTATTGTAAGACTTTTTGTCTTTGGTTTTTGGCAGTTTTTTAGGAAGTACTTAGGGGTAGATTTAGGCTTTTTAAAAATCATGATGGAGGGGAGGGTGGTGGAGGGAAGGGATAAAAATCTATCTAACAGGTACAATAAACACTATTTAGGTGATGGGGAAAAAATCATGCTGGGCTTCTTGAATCTGTCATTTTATATATTTTTTTATTAGTTTTGGAAAGTTTTTAGCCATTACCTTTTCCCATATTGGTTTTATCACCATTCTCTCCTCTTCTTTTGGGACTCTAGTTACAGATATGTTAGCTCTATTCTCCATATACTCTATAACTCCTACCCTCTCTTCTGTATTTTTTATCTTTTATCTCTCTGTGATAAATTTTGTATATGTTTCTGATCTATTTTCTTGTTCTCTAATTCTTTCTTCAGCTGTTAAACCTGGTATTAAGTTATATATTGAGTTTTTATTTTCACTTATAGTATTTTCATTTCTTAAACTTCCATTTGATTCTTTCATTTTAATTTCTAGTTTTTCTCTGAAGCTTTACAATCTTGTCTTTTAGCTCCTGGAAAATAGTAAGTAAGCAGATTTACTTTTAAGTCTGTCTGGTAGCTACAGTATCTAAGTCTTTCTTGCATTGATTTCTGTTTTGTTTTTGTTTTTTTGTTTCTTTTTTTTTGAGACAGACTCTCACTTTGTTGTCCAGGATAGAGTGAGTGCTGTGGCGTCAGCCTAGCTCACAGCAACCTCAATCTCCTGGGCTAAAGCGATCCTCCTGCCTCAGCCTCGCGAGTAGCTAGGACTACAGGCATGCACCACCATGCCTGGCTAATTTTTTGTATATATATTTTTAGTTGGTCAATTAATTTCTTTCTATTTTTGGTAGAGATGAGGTCTCACTCAGGCTGGTTTCGAACTCCTGACTTTGAGCAATCCGCCAGCCTCAGCCTCCCAGAGTGCTAGGATTACAGGCATGAGCCACTGCGCCCAGCCTATTGCATTGATTTCTATTGACTGTTATTTTAGCTGGTTTCATTTATGTTGCCAGCTCTACTTGTGTGTTTAGTTTGTTGTAATTTTGTGCAAGACAATATTTACAAAATTATTTATAAAAAGAATTTGGAAGCCTAGGAAAATACTGTCTTCCTCTGTATTAAACTATATATTTATTTATACTAGGTTCCTGTGCAAACTAGTGATCCAGAATCACTTCAGTCCAATTTAAGGATTGGGAATGCTCAAAGCTGAGCTGTAATTTCTCCAAAGGCTTGTTTATTTCTAATTTAAGCTATTCCTGTGTTTTAGCCTTTTGAGTTTCCAGCCCAAAGAAATGGAGTTTCAAAGATGTCCACCCTGGGTAGGCTCTGGACTGTAATCTTTGTGTCCTTGTCTCTGTGATGTTGTCAAGAAAACTGTTAGCCACTCCCCCTCCATCTCCAAATGCTGGCCGTATCTCTCTTAGCCTCCATTATGCCTGAATTTTTTATTGTCTGGCTATCCCTCTGTGCCTTCAAGCAGATATTTTTATATTATGTCCAGGTCTTTCTTGTAGTCTTTAGTGGAAAGGTTAGTCTATATTGTCTGATCTGCCATTACCAAAAGCAGAAGGTCTCTATTCTTGGTTAAATTTTTAAAAATTCTTCATTATGGAGGATTTTGAACATATACAAAAACAGAGTAGTATAATGAACCCCCATGTGCTTGCTATTACTCAGTCACAATAACTATTAATTCTTGGCCAGTCCTGCTTTATCTACATTTTTTGTTTCTGTTTTACAAAAAAATTCAGTTGGTACCAAAGCTTTATCTTTTTTTTTTTTTTTTTTTTTAGACAGAGTCTCACTCTGTTGCCCAGGCTAGAGTGAGTGCCATGGTGTCAGCTTAGCTCACAGCAACCTCAAACTCCTGGGCTCAAGCAATCCTCCTGCCTCAGCCTCCCAAGTAGCTGGGACTACAGGCATGTGCCACCATGCCCGGCTAATTTTTTCTGTATATTTTTAGTTGGCCAATTAATTTCTTTCTATTTTTAGTAGAAATGCTCTTGTTCAGGCTGGTTTTGAAATCCTGACCTTGAGCAATCCTCCCTCCTTGGCGTCCCAGAGTGCTAGGATTACAGGCGTGAGTCGCCGTGCTGGCCCCATAGCTTTATCTTGATTTTTGTCCACTTTCTCTCATCCTGAGGCAAAGTCCAGATATTACCTCAATTCATCTATAAATATTTTAATATGTAATCCTAAAAAATAAGCAATGTTGTGTTATTTTTGTTTTTGTTTTTTGAGACAGGGTTTTACTCTGTCATCCACTGCAACCTCAAACTACTGGGCTCAAGTGATCTTCCTGCCTCAGCCTCCCAAGTAGCTGGGACTACAGGTGGATGCCATCATGCTGGATTAATTTTTCTATTTTTTTGATAGACACAGGGTCTTGCTATGTTGCCCAGGCTGATCTAGAACTCCTGGCCTTAAGCTATCCTCCCACCTTGGTCTCTCAAAATGCGGGGATTACAGGCATGAGCCACCAAAACTAGCTAGGAATGTTTTTAAAAAATAATTATCACATCTAAATAATAACAATCATTCCTTTAAAAAAAATCCAGTCAATGTTTGAATTACTTTGTTATATTTTGGTGTAATTATATTTAGCAATAAGCCCATGAAGTACTTTGTTCCTGAATCTCTAATAAAGAGATTCCGTAGAGCAGTTGTGAGGGCCCTTTGTGACTTGGTCAGTAACCAGCCATGAAGATTTATTTTTATGCTCTTAAGCTTTACCTCACCTATTTAAAGTTTCCTCCTCATTTTATAGTGGCTACATTGAAGTCTCACTTCTTCCATGGAGCCTGCTGACCACCTGCTGACCACTCCTCAGATCTCTGTGGCATTTATTAACTCTCCTACTCCTGTGGCACTTGGCCATGTTATCTTGTATAGTATAATTCCACATGATTGGAAATAGTGGGAGGGTTGGGATGTGTGTACTGTATATTTTGTATGCCAAACTGATTCTGCCACCTTGTGGGGAAAATGGTACCTGCTAACTCAGGAATTTTGTGAGGGCCAAATGAAGTTGTTATTATGAGAACATTTCTTACAGCCTATGTAGCAAAATTATAAAGAATTACAGTTACTGTTGTTAGCATAGTCAGTATATGAATTCTAGACCATAATCTGTGTGGGCAGAGACATAGGTTCCTAGAGCCGATCACAGTACCTACAGTAGGCTATCAATAAAAATTTCCTGATTGAATTTATTATCTGAATGAATTCAGCCAAATTCCCTCATTCTTGTTTATCAGATAATATGAAACTGGAATGATGTAGTTAAAGACCTATAGGAAAAGGTTAAACTTTGTCACAAACTTCATTTAATTTTTTTTTCTCCTCCCAAATCTGATAGGTTTATCTCAACATGTAGTTACCAACTACAAACAAGTAATCCAACTCTTGGAGGAGGGAATTGCAAACAGGTAATAGGTTTGTTTGTTCCTATCATTATTTTATCCTCCTCATTCTTCCCCTTTGGAGGGAGTGTTTGATGACACAATTCTCTGTCTGCAGAGGCATTCACAACCAGGATGCACTTCCTAGAACAGTAATGTACCCAGGATCAGGGGCAGTGATGAGATTTAGTGCTCTTCTCATTAGTAATTATACTTCAGTTTGCTCTGGATATAATAATATTAGGCAGTAACCCCAGAGAAATTATTCTACACTTGATCTTAGCCAAAATGCCAAGAAGCAATTGAGAAATTATTCTATACTTTGCTTTATAATATATAGCTTCTGGTATTTTGATCAAAGAGAAGATTCTTGCCTACATTGTCCTCTCCTCAGGCTTGATAGATATAAGGACGAATATAGTGTAAAATATTTCATAAGATCATTTTTACTCTAGTTTTGCATACTTATAAGGTAACCCCCATATAACTGTTTAGAATCTGCTGTGAATAACTAAGTGCTAGAAACTCTCCTAAGAGGTCTTGCAAATTGTGATGACATTCCATAGTGTTAGTTACTATGAAATACCTAGAATGTTACTAATAAATATTTTTTTTAAAAAAGGCTTTTTTATAGGGAAAAAAAGGTGCTTAGAGCTCTGTATTTACCCTGTTAATAGCAGGCCCAAGTTGATTGAACATAAAGGAAAAAAATTTAAATTTAACATTCTCCACCTAGGGTTTCATGGAGCTCTCCTGGAGGCACTTGCTTGTGGTCTTCAGGATATCCTGAGCTCCTTGATCTTTAAGTGTCAGCCTTCACCATTTACTTTATACTTGAAGGACTAGACCAGCCTCTAGGTTTTGACCCTTTTCATCAATTCTCCAGATCCTATGAGAGCAGATGTCAGTGAATGGTCTTAAGCTCAAGCACAGTTGACTTAGATTTACATAAAAGGAAGACTCTTCTGACTTTAAGAGTTAACACTGGAATGGATTTCTAAGGGAGATTATGAAGTCCATCTGGCTTAAGCATGACATTGACATAATTTGAGATGTCATTTCTAAGACCTTTCTGACACTGTAAGATTAATATTCTGTGCTTAAGCAAAACTTACCTTCTTTGTCTTTGAGACTGCTCCAACAAGCTCTTTCCCTCCACTTGTCTTATTTAAATGGGTCTATCTTGGGATTATTCTTCCAGGTTGATGACACTCTAGTATTCCTCCTCTCACTATGATTTTTGCTTCTATGGCTTTAAAAAATGTTCTAGTGTGGTTTAGTATGAAGCTGCATTCCCTTTTATACTCAGATATCAGCACCTAAAGTGCTGCTTCTGCCCTCTTTGGACTACTCTCCTAACTATACTGGACTAAATCTGGATGTTTTATGATTCTAATCTGTAACCTCAGCACTGATATTTCTTGTGTTCTCCATGGATGCTTAGGGATCCACCATGCATAAACAATCCTTGTCCTAATGGTTTTCCCTTATATGCACAGAATCACAGCAGCCACCCATGTTCACGAGGCCAGCAGCAGATCTCATGCCATCTTCACTATCCACTACACGCAGGTTGGTTATTTATATGTTTGGTGAGATTTCTTCCTTGTGCCTTTTGGCTATTTTCTTGTCTTCCTTCCTGTTTCTTTTCCTTTCCTCCTACCCTCATATTTACAGGTCCTCTGAAATAACCTAATATTGTAAAGAGGACCTACATACAATCTATTAAGCTAGTAAGGGTACAGGCATTTCATAAAGACTAATTTAAATATCATCTTCTTGTATTTTCTGTTTAACATTTTAAAACATTTTTACATCTATGTGATCATGGGCATTTAAAACAAAATCAAACTTGAAAATAAGCATTAAAATGAAGAAATTAGAAGATTCACTTCCATTATGATATAGTGAGGATGTTAACAAATTCTATCCCCCCAAAGCAACTGTAAAGCTGGACAAAACCATTTCTGTGATCTGAAAATAGAGTAAAGGCATATAACAAATCGAGAAGCATTTACTCAAGAAAACTACTGAATTTCAGATAAGAACAATGCAAATGTTTGGTGTTCAGCCTTGAAGTGCTCCCATCCCACCCACACTCTGATCTCTGTCAATAGGACAGTTCAATTGGGGAAAAGAAGGCCACTGCCATAGGGGTTCATTTGATTTGGAACATTGTCAGTTAAAGTGATAATCTCTACAGCAAGCAAATAAGAGGGCCAGTGACTACACTGGCCTCAGCTTGTGGGTCTGTTTCAGGCAAGGCATGAAATGGCAGACTGTCAGGAGATTTAACGGAATTCTGGGAAGCGATATAGCCATATGGGACTTGATAAGATCCTCATGTATGTCGTAGGTTGACCAGAAGCTGTGTACATACACAGCACAGACTTAAGTGAGCCCAAGCCACCCATATAATGCTGACTGAAAGAATCTGCACATATGTGCAGAGGAGAGGTACAAAAGGTCCCTGTGGCAATCTTTAAAATGGCCTGAATTTTTAATATATTCTACTGCCAGCACATGGACAGAACAACCACCGCCACTGCCACCCTTAAGAGAAAATCAGAATCCAGAGTTACTACAATATGTTGTCTAAAATGTCTAGTATTCAACCAAAAATTACTAGACATATAAAAACAAAGTATGATGCAAGTGTGTGGGGGGGAAACCAGTCAATAGAAACTGACTCTAAGTGCCTCAGATGTTGAATTTGGCATACAAAGACTTGAAAAGTCAGCTAATATAGTCAAAGAACAGAAGGAAACTATTCTTAAGGAATTAAGGGAAAGCCTGATGACAACGTCATAGAAAATATCAATAAAATGATAGAAATTAAAAAAAAATTTTAATGTATTTTAGAAATTAATTTCTAAAATGGGAATTCTGGAATTGAAATATATAATTGCAATAAAAATTCACTAGTGGAACTAATGGCAGATTTGAGATGGCAGAAGAATTAGTGGACTTGAAGATAGACTAATAGAAATCATTCAGTTTGCAGAAGATAGTGTAAAAAGATTGAAGAAAAATGAGCAGAGCCACACAAACCTCTGCGACATTTAGGATAGCAACATAGGTATAATGGGAATCCCAGAAAAAGAAAAGACAGAGAATAGGGCATAAAATATTTTTAGAAAATAATGTTCAAAAACTTCCAAATTTGTTGAAAATCATTAATCTGTAGATCTAAGAAGCTCAAAGGACTCCAGGTAAAATAAATATAAAGAGATCCACACCTACACAGATCATAGTTAACATTGAAAGACAGAGAAAATCGTGAAAATAACTAGAGAAAAATGACTCATACAGGAGAATAATTACATGATTAATGGCTAACTTCTCATCATAAACATTGAACCCCAGAAGGCAGGGTGTGGAAAGAAAACAAAACTGTCAACTAAGAATTGTATATGAAACAAAACTAGCATTCAAAATTGAAGATGAAATAACATTCCCAGATGGGAAAAAAATGGAGAGAATTTATTGCTAGCAGACCTACCTTAAAACTAAATGAAATCTATTAGGCTTGAAGAAAATAATATCAGAAAGTAATTTAAATCTACAGGTAGAAATGAAATGTTCTGGGGAATGGTAAATATGTGAGTAAATATAAAAGACTATATAAATGTATTCTTTCTCATTTCTTCTAAAGTCTTTAATTTATCTAAAACAATAATTGTAACACTAATATACACTGTCATATATATGAAAATAATAGGGGGCATGAAAGGAGATATATTAGAACAAAGTTTCTATATTTTACAAGAATTAGGTTAGTATTATTTTGAAGTGATAAGTCAAGATGCATATTGTGATCTGTAGAGTAACCACTAAGTATAGCTCAAAAATATAATTTAAAAAATCAAAATAAAATAAAATCATACACTAAAAATACTTATTTAATGGAGAAAAGGGAGTTGAAAAAGGAACAGAGGAACAAAAAAGATATGAGACATATAGGAAAAAGAAAAACAGATGTGGTTCTGAGCACATCAGTAATTACATTTGATTAGACTGAGGTACAAATTGTCAGGCTGGATAAAAAGCAAGACCCAACAATGTGCTGACTGTAAGAAACACACCTTAGATCCGAAGACACAGGTTGAAAGTAAAAAGATGGAAAAGATACAGAATGCAAATAGTAACTATAGAGAGTTGGAGTGCTATATTAACATTAGGCAAAAAATAGGTTTTGAGAGAGATACTTGCTAGAAACAGGGACATTTCATAATGATAAAGGTTCAGTACATCAGGAAGATACAACAATTATAAATGTATACACTCTGAACAACCAATTGTCAAAGGAAAACCTGTCAGAATTGAAAGGAGAAATAGGCAATTTAACAATAGTTAGATATTTCTTTACACCACATACAATAAGAAGTAGAACAACCAAATAGAAATCAGTGAGGATATAGATTTGAGCAACATTGTCAACCCAGTGTGACCTGATATTTTCAGAAGAGTGTACTTTCCACTTAACGTCTGCAGAATACATGTTATTTTCTGGTACTCATGGAACGCATTCCAGGATAAACAATACACTGCATAAAATTAAAGTAATCAAGATAGTATGGTATTGATGTTAATATAGATAAATAGAACAGAATAGATTTCAAAATAGGCCCATGTGTATATAGACAACTTTATTTTTATTTATTTTTTTGAGTCAGAGTCTTTTGTCCAGGCTAGAGTGCAATGGCGTCATAATAGCTCACTGAGCAACCTCAAGCTCCTGGGCTCAAGTGATGCTCTTGCCTCAGCCTTCCCAGTAGCTGGGACTACAGGCACTCACCACCACATCCAGCTAATTTTTTTCTATTTTTTTTTGGAGGTAGGCATGGGGTCTCGCTCTTGCTCAGGCTGGCCTTGAACTCCTGACCTCAAGCAATCTTCCCACCTAAGCCTCCCAGAGTGCTAAGATTACAGGAGTGAGTCACTGTGCTTGGCTGATACTGATTTTAATAAAGTTGCAAAGGCAATTCAGTGAAGAAAATATAATCTTTTCAACCAATGGTAATAGAATAATTGGATATTTATATGGGCAAAAAAGAACTTTGATCTTTACTTTTGCCCTTTATCCAAAAGTTAACTCAAATTATGTCATAGACCTAAATGTAAAACCCAAAACTATTAAACTTGTAGAAGGTAATATGAAAAAACCTTTGTGGATTAGGCAAAGGTTTTTTAGCTATGGCACTAAAAACACAAAAGAAAATACAGGTTGAAATTTGGAATTGATTAAAACTTAAATCTTTTGATCTTTTAATAATAAGACACTGTTAAGAGAAGAAGAAAAGCCACAGGTAGGGAGAACTTGTTTGCTAACTATACATCTGATAAAGGAATGGTATCCAGAATATATAAAGAACTCTCTAAACTCTTTGTTAAGAAAATAACTGTAAACAATGGGCAAAAATTTTGAACTGACACATCACTAAAGAAAATATACAGATGACAGCTAAATACTTGAAAAAATGCTCAACATTATTAGTTATTAGGGAAATGCAAATTAGAACCAAAAGAGATATAATTACCCATCCTTCAACATAGCTAACGTTAAAATAATACTAAATACTGGCGTAATGTATAGGAGCAAGAATTCTCATATACTGCACTACTGGTGGGAATATAAAATGGTACAATAACTTTGGAAAAGAGTTTAGCAGTTTCTTAAAAAGTTAAACATCCACCTACCATATGATCCTAGCCATTCCCCTCCTAGGTATTTACCCAAGAAAAACCATGTGTTCATACAAAGACTTGTGCAAAAATATTCATAACAACTTTATTTGTAATTGCCCTGAAATGGAAACAACCTAAATGTCCATCAAGAGGTGAGTGGATAACTATGGTATATCCATACAATGGAATACTACTCAGCAATAAAAATGAAGTTTGTTTTGTTTTTTTTGAGACAGTCTGGCTCTGTTGCCCAGGCTAGAGTGCCGTGGCATCAGCCTAGCTCACAGCAACCTCAGACTCTTGGGCTCAAGCAATCCTCTTTCTCAGCCTCCTGAGTAGTTGGGACTACAGGCATGTGCCACCATGCCTGGCTGATTTTTCTGTTTTTAGTTGCCCAGCTAATTTCTTTCTATTTTTGGTAGAGGTAGAGTCCCGCTCTTGCTGAGGCTGGTCTTGAACTCCTGACCTCAAGTGATCCTCCCTCCTCAGCTTCCCAGAGTGCTAGGATTACAGGCGTGAACCACCACAGCTGGCCAAAAATAAAGTATTGATACATGCCTCAACATGGATGAATCTCAGTTATGCGAAAGAAGTGAAAGAAGCCAGACACAAGATTCCATTTATATATAGAAAGAATGTTGATGAGTGGTTGCTTGGAGCTGGGAATGGGAACAGAGCTGAACTGCAAACAGACTTGAGGGAATTTAGGGGTTATTGGAAGTGTTCTAAAACTGGAGTTTGTTGATAGATATATAATAACATTAAAATTTTCTAAAACAGGCTGGGTGTGGTGGCTCACGCCTGTAATCCTACCACTCTGGGAGGCTGAGGCGGGTAGATTATTTGAGCTCAGGAGTTCAAGACCAGCCTGAACAAGAGTGAGATTCTGTCTCTACTAAAAATAGAAATTAGCTGGACAACTAAAAATATATAGAAAAAATTAGCCAGGCATGGTGGTACATGCCTGTAGTCCCAGCTACTCAGGTGGCTGAGGCAGAAGGATTGCTTGAGCCCAGGAGTTTGAGGTTGCTGTGAGCTTGGCTAATGCCATGACACTCTAGCCCGGGCAACAGAGTGAGAGACTCTGTCTCAAAAAAAAATTTTTTTTCTAAAAACAGTAAAAAATCCACATTGAATTAGGGGGCAGGGAGGAAGGAAAATAGTTTTGTTTTTTGGATCTGATGCCCCTCAGTAGAACCTACAGGGCAGAGATCCTCCCCTAGCAAGTTAACATGCTATGACTGAGGTTAGCCAGAGAGATAAACCTCATCAGGGCCACACATCTGCTGTGGCTTCTCTGCTGATAAGAGTCAGAACCCCTGGGAGGAGAGGCGAGCATTTGCCTGGTAAATTGTACTGAAATTCCTGGTGTGCCTGAAAATTGTACTCAGAGAACTTCGTGGGGATTTGCCCTTATTACTTTGTGGAAGTCTGTTAGTGCTTTTAATGAAATGATTATCCAGGGCCTAGTGATTTTGTATATTAGATATGGAAAACTCATCTGGTTCAGAGCACGTTAAAATACAGATCTGTTGAGTGAATTGGATAAAAATACAAAATATCACCTTGGCTAAAAGTGTCTAAGGGGGGAAAAATACAAATGGTTCCAAATGACAGGCTTTAAATGTGTTTTCTCCTTTAGGCAATCCTGGAGAACAACCTCCCCTCTGAAATTGCTAGCAAGATCAACCTCGTGGACCTAGCAGGCAGGTAATAGGATTTCAAAGCCAAGGGGAATTACTCCCTTGATAATGATCTCGTTCTTGCCCATTCTACAGGGAATACGATTGTCCAATCTTTTTCATATTTCAGTGATCCTGACAAAATTAGAAAGGAAAAGTCTTTGAATGCTAAGAAGCTGTAGTTTTTCAGGGGCTGAAAAAGTCCTCTATATCAGGGGTTCTCAATCTTGACTGCCCATTAAAGTCACATGGGGAACTTTTTAAAACTCCTAATTCCTATACCTCAGAACAAACAAATCAGATTATTAGTGAGATTTGGAAGAATGCAGACATAAGTGTATTTTAAAGCTGTCCAGGTGATTCCAATGTATAGGCAAGACTGAAAACCACTGCACTATGTGAAGGTAACTGAGTTAGTGCACCTTTTTTTCTTTAACTTACCACAGTCTCAAACTCCTCCTGAGCTCAAGTGATCTTCACCTGCAGCCTTCCAAATAGCTAGGACTACAGGCATGTGCCACTATGCTTGGCTATTTTTTTATTTTTTGTAGAAACAGGGTCTCACTGTTTTGCCCAGGCTGGTCTGGAGCTCCTGGCCTCAGCCTCTCAAAGTTCTGGGATACAGGCGTGAGCCACTGCTCCCAGCCTTAATTTTATGCAGCTCTGTACATTACTTTAAAAAAAGAAAAAGAAAAAAATGTTTTACATGGTGGTGCGCATCTGTAACCCCAGCTACTTGGGAGGCTGAGGTGGAAAGATCATTTGAGGCTGCCAAGGTAACATAACAAGATGCAATCTCTGAAAAAGTTTTAAAAATATTTTGAGGTTGAGGAGAAGATACTGCCTTTTATAAAGTATTAGAAGGAAGCATGACTTGTATTATAGTTACATGGATATCTATAAAAAAGAAAGTCTTAGGGATAATGTGATCACAAAAAGTTAAGATGAAATAATGCAAATTTTCTTTTAAAACTGCTAAATAATTAATATGGTATAGCATTTCCTTAAAAACTAAGTGCTATCTGAAAGAATAATCAGTCAATTGGAAGTATGAATTTTTAATATTTCCCATTTACTTAAAGGAATTTGAAACTATTAGCAGTTGATGCAGATACCAGAAAGCCACTAATATGTGAATTTAAAACAATAAAGATAGAGGGGAAATGAATATACCAAAAAGCTATGCTAGTATCATTACTGTAAATGAGCATTATGTTTATCTTAAAGTGCTCTGGCAGCCAAAATGAAAACAGAAATGTAGTGAATTATTTGATTTTTATTGCCTAAGAAAGTGAAGAAGGCCAGTTCATTACAAGATGGTAACATTTTTTTTCTGAAACTGAATTAGAAAAGGAATTTATTATGTAAGTCTTTTACAACATGATATACAACAAATAGTATCTTTCAACAGCATTATAAAAATAGTGTCTTGTTTGCTTTTGTTTTTGTTTCACTGACTGTATTTTAGTGAAAGAGCAGATCCCAGTTACTGTAAGGACCGGATTACTGAAGGAGCCAATATCAACAAGTCCCTTGTGACTCTAGGAATTGTCATCTCTACCTTAGGTATTTTGCTGATACACTGGATGATTGGAGTGGGAGGGAGACTTTGGGAAAAAAACCTCATGCTTTCATTTTGTCAAAAGAGTAGACAGATTACAGGATTCTTCTTGATAAGGTTACCTTCTGGTTTGGGGCATGAAAATTTATTTGTCTGTGGTTTTAGAGCACAATGTGACCATCATCCCTGCACTATCATTTCAAAAAGAGGGGAGACTAAAAAATTGTGTGGCTATACACTCCATGTTTTGAGTCCAAAGTCTAATTCAGGGTTCAAACTTAAAATATCCTATCATATGCAGAAAGGGATTAGGAAGTGTGATAATCATTGTTTTAATGCATTTCTTCATAATTCCTTCTTTCTTCCACTTTTATTTTTTGTCTTTAAGCCCAGAACTCCCAAGTATTCAGCAGCAGCTTGAGCCTCAACAGCTCAGCCAGCAATGGTGGTGACAGTGGGATCCCTAGCTCTACCTCTGGGACTAGCAGTGGAGGGGGACCATTCCGGAGACAGTCCTACATCCCATACCGAGACTCTGTGTTGACCTGGCTGCTGAAGGACAGTCTTGGAGGCAACTCCAAAACCATCATGGTTGCCAGTAAGTGGGATGCTAGAGGTGGTTCTGTGTTTCTCATTTCATCATGGGTCTCACACAGCATGGGTTATAGTAGCAAGCCAAGTGGTTAAGGACTGGGATGGAAGTGTTTGGCATGTCTTCTAACTTTCTCCTTCTACCCCAGCCGTGTCTCCTGCGCACACTAGCTACAGTGAGACAATGAGCACGCTGAGATATGCATCCAATGCCAAAAACATTATTAACAAGCCACGGGTGAATGAGGTGAGACCTTCATCAGAAATCTGGTTAATTCTTAATAACACAAAGTTCTACTTACTTTTCTCTAATTGATTTCTTTTTGTACTCACCCCAACTTGCCTAACATATTTTCCAAATAATGAAGGTGGTAGAAGTCTGTCTTCTAATGTCATCTCCTTCTTTTATGTCTCTACTGCCTTCATTCAGTAACGTTTTATGAATAATTTATTTTAGATATTTCTTTAAGGCCATTTCTCTTAAGATCCCTGGTGCCACTCTAAGAAAGGTAATTTGTGTTGGCTGCTTTTATTTTGAATTGATGTTGATTTATGCCTGTCGTTTTTTTCTGTGCAAATTGCCTGTATTTTTTTCTATCCAAATTTCAGTTGACTATTCTGTTTAGATTAAATAGAGAGTATAGGAATTCATTGGTTTTTGAAAGCTGAATAATAATGAGAATTTTCCAAATGTTTCTTATCTCCTTCGCAACTTCAGTGAAAAGCTCCAGAGCAGGGATCATTGCTGGTAGCCAGACACATGTATATAGCCCGTACATGGACTGTTTTACAAGGCAGTGTGACTGGGCGGGTATTAAGTCTAGTCACATTTCTCTGGGTATGAAAAAAAAATGTTTAGTCACAATACAGTAAGATTAGTATCTCCTACCTGTACATTGTGTTACCAGCTTGACCTTCTCCTCTAGGGCCATGATTCTCAAACTTCAGTGTGTATCAAAATCACCTAGAGAGTTTGTTAAAACACAGCAGGCCCCAGCCCCCAAGAGTTTCTGATTTAGTAGATCTGGGGTGGGGCCAAATTTGCATTTCTAATAAGTTCTTAGGTAAAGTTGATGCTGTAGATCCAGGGACCATATACGGGGAATGACTGACTGCTTTACAAGTTACTCCAAAGGAGTAATCGCCTTCTTCCAAGTTCATTGAATGTAGCTGGGTGAGACCTGATACCAATCAGTGGTAACTGAGTTCTCTGTGTTTCAGGATGCTAACGTAAAGCTGATCAGAGAGCTCAAAGAAGAGATTGAAAGACTGAAAGCCATGCTGCTGAGCTTTGAACTGGTATGCAGGCAATCAGAACTCTGCCATGATTAAGTGAAGTTCTCCTCCTGAGCCCTTTTTCTTCTGCATAGAATCAGGGCCTTGCTGCATTCCATGTTGTCTGATTAACACTCATGGAGCAGAGGCAGGAGCAAAGGCAGGAGTGTGTAGTTCTCTGATTTCTCTGTGTAACTTCAGATGGGGTGGGCTGTTTCTCACTATATCATCTTTTGTCCAAAGGGCATTTGCCTGAATGGCCTTGTTCTATTTGGGCAGACATGGGGAATGGGGCCATCCAGAAAACTTTCTTTGCATTCTTCTCCTTTGTGCCAATATAAGCCCAAATGTTTAGGCTCCTGATTTATTTCTGATTTTAATGATAAAAATCTTTCCTTTTTCTGTACCTTATATTCCTTTACAAGTGTAAAGGTGGTACCCACCTGAAGTTCAGACCAGGAAAATATCAAAGCACATCTCTCTTTCTTTGTGCAGAGGAACTTCAGTTCATTGAATGATGAAAAGGATGAAGATCTTAAGGAGCTGGTTTTCCAAAATGAATTGAAGGTAGGTGTGTTGGGTGGACTCAGCTGTGCTTTACATCACCCTGGGAGCTCCCTCCATTATTCCTGGGTCAGGGCTACTCCCTAGGCAGGGCAGAGAGGATCTATCTAAAGACAATTTTTGTCTCCTTTAAGCCTTGAAGGAGGGATGTGTTTGCCTTAGGGAACTGGCAAATGGCCTTATGACTTTCTGATTTGTTCTCTTAGGGGTTCATGATAACTCTTTTTATTATTTTATTTTATTTTATTTTTTTTGAGACAGAGTCTCACTCTTTTGCCCAGGCTAGAGTGAGTGCCATGGCGTCAGCCTAGCTCAGAGCAACCACAAACTCCTGGGCTCAAGAGATCCTACTGCCTCAGCTTCCCTAGTAGCTGGGACTACAGACATGCACCACCATGCCCGGCTAAATTTTTCTATATATATTAGTTGGCCAATTAATTTCTTTCTATTTTTTAGGTAGAGACGGGGTCTCGCTCTTGCTCAGGCTGGTTTCAAACTCCTGACCTCGAGCAATCTGCCCACCTCGGCCTCCCAGAGTGCTAGGATTACAGGCGTGAGTCACTGTGCCCGGCCCATGATAGCTCTTTTTGGATAGTGAGAGTAGCCTGGGTGAGGGGGGAACAATCTGTTTTCTAGTCAGTTGCTTAAGCACCAGATAAGGTAGGTGCTCAGCATGATGCTACAAGAGGCACAAAGAAGTCTCTGCCCACAAGTGACTTGTAGTCTAGTTGGAAACACATTTAGAGAATGGTATGTTTCAACTATATGATGTATTCAAAAAGAATTTAGGGGGCTAGGCACAGTGGCTCACACCTGTAATCCTAGCACTCTGGGAGGCTGAGAGAGCAGGAGTGAGACACTGTCTCTACTAAAAAAATAGAAAGAAATTAGCTGGACAACTAAAAATATATAGAAAAAAATTAGCCAGACATGGTGGCACATGCTTGCAGTCCCAGCTACTCAGGAGGCTGAGGCAGAAGGAATGCCCAGGAGTTTGAAGTTGCTGTGAGCTAGGCTGATGCCACGGCACTCTAGCCTAGGCAACAGAGTGAGACTCTGTCTCAAAAAAAAAAAAGAGTTTAGGGAAGGAAGAAATCATTATGGCTTGGAATTTTCTGAAAAGACTTATTGTGCTAGAGTTGGAGGGCAGAGAACTGACCTTGAAGTAGCCCTTGAAGGTTTGATAGGTTTGTTAGGGACCAGTGGTAAGGCGTTTGGGGTGAGGGAGGGAAAACATAAGCAGAATCTTGGAACTTGTGGAGAAGGAAGTAGTGAGAGAGGCCTTGTGGAAGCACACACTGTGAGGAAGGCTAAACTGGCTAGAATGTGTGTTCATGGTAGACGGTAGTGGAGGTAAGGTTAGGGCCAGTTTGGAAGGTTGGAACTTGATGCAAACAGGATTTATAGCTTCTTGAATCAGGTTGGTCACATTGTAGAAGAGTATCTTGGGGAAATGTATGCAAGATGAATTGAAAGCCGGGGGGGGGGGACCCTAGAAATAGGGAGACCAACCAGGAAAGAGACTGTTCTTGTAACCTACTGAGGGCGAGGACAGGACATTTGGGAACAGTAAACTAAATGGTGGTTCCCAGAGACATTTAAAAGGAAGAAATGGTGAGCATTTTTTGGTCACAGGTTAGATTTAGATCCTACAACCAAATGTCCCAATTTCAAGTATTCTATTGCATCATCCTTAGATGTTATTCAAATATTCTGGCCTTGTCAGTGTACTGATATCCTAAGTAAACTTTAGAACTACATTATACATCCAGAAGTTTCTCAAAAAATCTTTGTTTAGCCATGTATTATGATTTTTGGTTGAGAAAATTCCATCTCTCTATAACAAGGGATGAAGTATAAGAGCCAAAATCATTCCAAGCTCATTAGCATTTTGCATCATATAGGCCAGCAACCTGGACATGAGTCTGCCCCTTGCTGGCTGTATGACCTTAGGCAGAGTAGGAATGAGCAGTGGAAGCTGGCCAGAGGGGGCAGCTGTGCCAGACTGTAAGGCAGAGTGCCCTGCCACTCATCAATGCCAGGGGTCCCAATCCAGCCCAGCTCTTTATGGATACCCTGTATTCTTACTGGTTTTCAGACTTCAACTCGATGATTATAACTTTAAAACAGTGTTTCTAGGGTACATAAAATACTTGGCCCTAAAAATGGCATAATTATTTTTCTGAAGTATTCCCTTTTTGAGAGAAGTACTTAACCTGAATCTAATTTTTTTGAGCTTCCTCAGTTCTTCCATTCTCAGGATAAGCTTCCGGCCCACACATCAGTTTCTGCCAAAAGAGGAAAAAGAACTCTACATTCAACACTGTTTATTCATGTCCCTAAGGTAGTCGTAGCTTAAGGCCTCCAAGCCTAGGTATGTTTACTTTTAAAACTCTGTCCCTGATACATAGTAAGCACTCAGTATTTTATTGTTGTTATTGGTATTTATTACATGGTTCTGGATCTGTTCCATATAGTCTTAATTCTACCTGGGCAGATTCCTCATAGTGCTTTGTGGGTCCTTTAGCCATGTACAAGCTTGTATTATAACTCAAGGTATTGCACTTTGGGAAAGAAGTGTTAGGTCATAAAAGGATTCTTAAATATGGATCATATAGAAGTGGGATGGGGGAAAGGGAAATTAGAAACAAAGATATCTAACATCCTAATTAATTAAAAAAATTTTTAAATAACATTTATGGCTTTTCTAATTATTAAAACAATACATGCTCATTGCAAAAAACTTTACAAATAACATTTACTGAAGGAGCTTCTGTTTTTAAAACTGACACTTGCTTATTGAAAAAAAACTTGGAAAACATAGCATGCAGTTAGAGGAGGTACATGAGCCTCTGTGGGGCTTTGAATAGTAAAAGTGAGTATCATGAGAAAGTAATACCCGGGGGAAACAGGTCAGGATGACCTCTGACCTTTCGTCAGCTTTTCATGCTGAGTATCTAAGATCACCTCCTGTGCCTCTGCAGATAAACCAGATGACTAAAGACTGGACCCAGAAGTGGAATGATTGGCAGGCCCTCCTGGAGCATTACAGCGTGGACATCGACAGGAGGAAGGCTGGGGTGGTCATCGACTCCAGCCTGCCACACCTGATGGCCTTGGAGGATGACGTACTCAGCACAGGTGTTGTGCTCTATCACCTCAAGGTGAGGCTGGTATACTCCTTTTCTCCACTGGCCCCAGAAGTCAAGGAGGGAAAAGCCAGGGGCAGCTGCTGTGTTTCTGTGAAATGACACAGATGCCACAGAGCTGCCTTCAGGTTTGCTCTCAGGAAACTGGTCTAGCTGACAAGTTGTGATGTTTTGCTTTGCAAGTATATAGAGTAGAAGACTGGAAGTCGGAATAATCATTTGTTTTTCAACTGCTGCTACTATTGTTCTTATATAAATTACTTTTGTTCTCTGTGCCTTAATTTCCTCATTTTAAAGAATGACGCTTCTCATATTCCTTTTCTGGCTTCCTACAGCAGTGGCACAGTCATGGAGAGTGAAGTCCTAACCTCAAAATACTGTTATTGTTCCTAAACTCTGCAAATGCAGGCTGCTCAAAGGCAGCTTTCAGAGACTAAAGGGGGAATTCAGAAGATTTGAAAGTTTTCTTCTCAAATTTCCCCACTTCATTCAACCCCAAATCAACAAAATATGCACGTCCCACTTCTCCATCACTACATTTACCTGGAAAAGAAGGAGAGAGAAAGTAGATAAAGGAAGTTTAAAGCATGATGGAAGAGTCCAGAGGGCTGGGGTGGAGGGGTAGAGGGGACAACATGCATCTATCTAGAAGAAAATAGATTGAAGTTAAGGCTTTCCAAATAGGACCTGGCTCACCTGGCTCTCTGTCACCTGGAGGCTAGTCATCATTTCTAACTGAAGCAGTTTTGAGAGTCAGTGACTCCTGGTAGATAGTCTTGTATTCAGTGCTGATCAAATATGTCTGACTGTGGGAGGACAGTTCCTATGGATGGCAGAACAAACTTCATGTGGCCAAAATCCCTGTGCTTACTAAACATCTAATTTTGATTCTCGTAATTGTCCCCAGCTGATATTTAAAAAGAACAACGAAAGAGTTTATGGGGGATTTGTAATGTGCTGTTATCCCTGGAGAAATTAGGCTCCTAATGCTGCAAAACATATGGAAGTGAGATGTTAGCAAAGCTCATCTGTGTTCTTGGGGATAAGCCCTTAGGGAGGTTGTCAGTCTGAGCCTCTCAAACAGAAAGTTAAAAGTGGCCTATTTTCTGGCACAGTGGGCATAAATTATCTCAGTGAAAGTGCCTCAGGCAGAAGTGGCTGTCTACTTTTACCCTGGCAACAGATCTAAACACCAAATGGCTATATAGGTCCTTCCATTAGTCAAAACCACAAAGAGAGGTTGGGAGTCAGGAAGAGACCAGATCGATTAAAATGGTCAATATTTGAGTAGAACTGATTTTATGGTATTGATTGGGTGTGGAGTGAGCAAACAAAGCTAGAAATCAAGTAGTAGAGCTTCAGATGGCAGCAGAGGGTTAAAGGACATGACTGTTAGATTGAATTGTAGACACAGAGACTAGCAATGACCTCATCTGAACATAGGATTGCTGATTTTCATTGCTTAATACATAGTGAAGATTTTCATCCCTCCTTGGTGCGTTTCCAGTGGACCTGGATGATGAGATTTTAGTCTATTTCTAATCTTGACATCTTTGCATTTTATGTACCCATTTTTCTCCCTTTTTGTTTGTTTAGATATTGGTTTAGATGATAGTATAACAGTAGTGGTCCAGGATTCTCTGTATTTTTATTTACTTCGCTAACTTGGTTGTAGACCTAGAACTAGTCTCTGGCAATATCCTGGGAGCCATTTTCCCTTGGGTCACCTTGGGAAGTTCCTTGGGCAGGAAGCGGGCAGAGGGGAGGACAGATGGAGCACAGCTTACTGATACCCTCATAATTGCGTTTATGCCACTAATTCTCTTTGCATAAAGAGGCACATGGGGCAGAAACACAGGCACTAACCCAGTTCTTGTTATCTGAGATACCATCACTTCTTTTGTGTGGTTTCTGCCCTGAAATCTCTATGTTATGATGTGCTGTGGCCTTTACCCTTTAAGGAGGAATGTGCCTCATGATCACAGCTGTCTCTGAACTCAGATGAAGGGTTTTGGCCTTTTTCCCTTGAACTGCCCTCTGCTTCTGTTGACAGTGTCTGTGGAGGCTGGCGTCCGTTGACACCTGTGGTCCTCAGTGGCTGAGTGGAAAAAGCTGGGCTCTGGCTATTTGTGTGTATGCAGGGAAGAGGGGCAGAGGGGGGGACACAGTGAGGCCAGAGCCTCATTCATTTCTTCCAGGATTCTTCCTTCTCACAGGCTATTTTGGGGGACTGCAAGGACCTCCCTGCTATGGCTGCTGACAGTGAAACCTAGTGGAGAACTCTCTGATCACCCTGAAAACATTAATCACTGGAAAGGTGGTATAGTGAGGTTGGAAAAGCATGGGCTTTGGATCCAGAGAGACTTGAATTCTGGTCATAGCTCCCTCCTGTTTGGTATGTGGGTTTCTTGGGCAATTTATCCTCTGTAAGCTTCAGATTCCTCTCTATGAAAAGGACATTAGCCTATAGTCCCAGCATTTTAGGAGGCTGAGGCAGTAGGATTGCCTGAGGCTAGAAGTTTGAGACCAGTCTGGATAAAATAGCAAGACCTTGGTTTTACAAAAAATAAAGTCAGCCAGGTATGGTGGCATGAACCTGTAGCCTTGGCTACTCGGGGGGCTGAGATGGGAGGATCCCTTGAGCCCAGGATTTCAAGGCTGCAGTGAGCTATGATTGCACTACTGCACTCCAGCCTGAGCAAAACTCTGTTTTGCAAAAAATAAATAAGACAATACCTACAATTTGCATTGTTTAAGGATTAAATAATTATATCTATAAAGTACTCAGCATAATGCCTGTGACATATTGAATGGTTTCAATAAATTATAAAGACATATCTAAAGACATAATGTAGCACCTCTATTGCTGCATTGCTGCCGCCTTCAAATAGGGCCATGTGGTCTTAAGCACATTTGCCATAATCCAAGGGCCAAAAGGCCTTGTCTTCTACTAACTCACTGATTTATGTGTACTAACTCCAATTTTCCTCTCCTCTCTTATACTCTCTTCCAGTTCTTTTTTATTCTAGAAGTGCTTTTCTCCTATTTGTGCTTTACCCTTCTTAGAATCTGGTGTCTATTAAACTTCATCTGAGGACCAAGAAGGTAAAAATCCTGTGTTTCAATAAATCTTCAGAAAACACTTATCTTTTTGAGACTTACTAGACCACAGTTGGATCACGCTTAGCCCCTTGGGGAAAGTTATGCTTGCATGCCACTTCATCAGACTAGAGAACTTCTTGGCTGTGGCTAGTCCCAACTTCAGACTACGGGACACAACAGAGTTTGCCAAAACTTTCTGGACTTTGCAAGTGGCTGGTGTTACTTTGTCATGTATTTTTTTTTTTTTTTTTTTTTTATCTCTGGCTCCTCAGGGGCTCCCTGGGCTGCAGAGTAAGTAGGAGGAGGGTCAGAGCAGCTGGGGCCAAAGTTAGGAAGTGGCACAGAAAAGGCTGGGATGAGAATGGGAGGACAGTGATAACACTCGACTGTGGAGTCTCCTTTGGGGGCAAGGCTGTGTCCTTTTTTAGTCTCATTAAAATGGCTTTTTTTTTTTCCCCCTATAGGAGGGGACAACAAAAATAGGAAGGAGTGACTCAGACCAGGAACAGGACATTGGTAAGTGGCAGAGAATATGGGTCTGACACTTGGGGCAAGTATTTGTGCCTGAAAGGTTTCTTCAGAGGAATCTTATGCTCTGAGAGGAGGGAATTTTTGAAGTATTATATTAAGGATCTGGTTCTCTCTCTGCTGCTGGGTTTTGGGTCTGGGATGTGATAGGAGACCCACACAGTGGGAGGATTTCAGGTCTAGGTAGTTTCAGGTGGTGGCTTTTCCTGTCTTGTTGTGGTGGGAGATCTTCGAGATGTTGGATTCTGATCCCACAGAAAAAATGGAATGGATGTTTTCCTGGGTTGTCCCCTGGCTTGAGTGACCACTGTCTCTTCTGCAGTCCTGCAGGGTCAGTGGATTGAAAGAGACCACTGCACTATCACCAGTGCCTGTGGAGTAGTCATTCTCCGGCCTGCCCGGGGGGCCCGCTGCACAGTCAATGGCAGGGAGATCACCGCCTCTTGCCGTCTGACCCAAGGTAGGACTGTCTACAGCCCTGTTTGTACCAGGTTGAGTGATGGACCAGCTCTAGATTCAGGGGCCCAGAGAGCTCAGTGAAGCAGGCTTTAAAGATGGATCACTCAGCCTCTGCACCCAGAGATCTGAAGATTTTCTAATGTGATCCTTTTTCCTTAAATGAGCCCCAATTCCAGAGCCCCAGAGTGAAGAATGACTCTCTGAAATTTGTACCTGTGTTCATTAGCTCTGTGTCCTTGGGCAAGGCTCCGAGGCTCACTCTTCTCATCTGTAATATGGAGGTGATAATAGGATCATTGTGAGGATTGAATGAACCTTATCCACATAAAGTTCTTAACAGTATGCTTGGCATTTAGTAAACACCCATTGTCATTATTTCTGTCACTATCACTGCTATTAATCTGTTCACATTCTGTTTCCTTTGGGACTGAGCTTAGATTCCTCCTCTTCCATGAAGCTTTGCCTGATTACTCCACCTGGAACTCATCTTGTTTTTTCTTTGAGTACTAGAGCTCCTCCTGTCTATTTTATTAATTCAGTATGTATGCTGTGAGTTATATTATTATCTTATCACTCAGCTAAATGATCAATTATTGAGGGCATGACTCTGTCTCACGGAACAGCGTCCTGTACATAGTATGTATTCAAAACATGATCTGTTTATTGAATTCTCATTTGTCTCTGTGCTACAGGCGCTGTCATAACTCTGGGGAAAGCACAGAAATTTCGATTCAACCACCCAGCAGAGGCTGCTGTCTTGCGGCGGCGAAGGCAGGTTAGCACAGTTGTGTTTTCTAGGTTGTTGTTGGCCTCCCTGTTTCTCCTTTCTAGAGGAAAAGCTTGAGCCTTATCTGGTTCTTTTGGGCTGGAAGTGATGACAACAGCCTCGCTGTGCTTGCTTTCCCATTCCAGGTTGGAGAGGCTGTTGGTGGCAGTGGCTCTTTGGAATGGCTGGACTTGGATGGAGATGTCACTGCTTCCCGGCTTGGTCTCTACCCTTTGCTTTGGAAGGAAAGGTGAGAAACAGCTGCTCATACTGATGTGGAACCACTGGGTTTGCTTCTCAGTCCATTACAACATGGAGCAGGGAGGTGATTAGTGTAGCAGACAAGATCTGAGTGAGGTCTGATCTGAATCAACGCGTTTTGAAAATGCTAAACTAGCGCCTGAGTTTGTAGTTGGCAGGGAAGTGGTCTTGGCGCTCATTCATTTCCTCTGGTATTTCAACTTTCTTCATCACCTAAAGATGTACATTATTTGATATTTGTATGGCCACTTTCTTGTCGCAACAAGATTTAACTGTGATGTATTTGCAGATATCTTTGATACTGATTCTGAATTTGCCTGCCTGTATCTCTCTTTAAATTCTGGCCTGCCTAGTGTGAGCTCATAGTGTATGTCAGTTAGCTTCCATAACTGAAGACTTCCTCTGAGTTTTTAAAAGATAGTGTGTGACTGAGAATCCTTTCTTCCCCTCATAACCAAAAATCCGGACTGATACATAAGAGGGGCAGGAACTATTGGAACAATATGAAAATATCTTGGGGTTCTACCGTTTCATACCCATTTCACCTGCTCTGTGACTAAGGCATTTAGTAAAGAGTTTGATGTGTGATTGTTGGTAACTGCTTTATTACTTCATAGTCATACGTCATCCACTTCTACATAGAACCCCCTTCTCATATCTAGATGCCTTGTAGGCTGGGTGCTGGGAATCATTCTCTTCCCATTAGTCACATAACCTCTGCCTTAGGGAGTTCTTGTAGGACATGGTACCTGTGATGTCACTGGCATCAGGAGCTGCCATGCACCTTCTGCACAGGGTTCTTGGTAGAGTTATGGCCCATGGTCCCTTGGTTCCTTCAGAGGGATCTGGCTGCTCTTTCATCAGACCAGCAGCATTTGATGGCAGATGAAGAAGACAGTCTTGGGTCTGAACTTAGTAGTGAAGGATGTTGGTTACAGGAACAGAAGTGCTCTGATTTGGGGAGCATGAACAGCGGGCAAGTCCTCACAAGAGGGCTGCTAAGGGTAGAAGGACACTACAACAGAAGTTTAATGGAGGAGGGTCCTAGTGCCAAGAGCTCTATGGGGTGAAGGGTAAGTCAGAAGAGGTGACATAGGATGGAGAGTATCATGGCCAAGGCAGACTCAGGATTGAGGCTGGAACTTTTGCTTTATCAGAGTGCCCTTCCCTTTTTGTAGTGAAGTCAGGAGGTGCTGTATTAGGTAAGGTTTGTGTTGGGAAGACTCACTGAAGATCTTTTTTTTCCCTGACAGTTCAGAGTTTTACAGAAAATACTGCAACTTAAAGAGCCATGGATGTGGAAGAGATATATTGCAATTGGACAAAACTGGTCCACATCCTGGCTGTACTACATAAAAGCTGTGTGACAGCCTGAACAAGAGCAAGACTCCGTTCCTACAAAACATTGAAAAATTAGCCAACTTTGGTGGCACACACCCGTAGTCCCAGCTACTCAGGAGGCTGAGGCAGGAGGATCTCTTGAGCCCAGGAGTTTGAGGTTGCAGTGAGCTATGATGATGCCACTGCATTCTAGCTCAGGTGACAGAGCAAGACCCTGTCTCAAAAAAAACCAAAAAACTGTGTGACCTTAGGCAAGTCACTGAATCTCTGAGCCTGTTTTCTCATCTCTGAAAGAAGGATATTACCATCTCTTTTCCAGGGATTCTTATGACAAGAATTGAAAGAGCAAGTGTATGTGTGCAATGCTGACAACACCCCACAGCCCCCACTGTTGGGAGGCTCTGAGGAGGAGCTGCCCAGGAAGGCTGCCTCCTTTTCTCTTTTCTATCCTCTGTTCTCAGCCCAGCTGGCCCATCTACCCCACAACACACTGTGGTCTTCTCTTGCCTTTTAAAAGTCTTATATGACTCTCTAGCCCCATGAGCACTGACATGACCTTTCAGAAACACCAAGAATGTGCCCTTTCATTCAGTGAGGACAGAGAAGGATTTCAGAATCAAGGCCTCTCCCACCCACTGCCTCCACTGTTCAGCCCCAGTACAGGAGCCTGTAGGCTGGGCTGGCCCTGCCCAGCTACCATAGCCAGCATCTGTGTGCCAGCCCCTGGTGGAAGTGGTGTGGTGATTGTCCAATCACTCAAGCCTGTGATTGGGCAAAATGACCAGGTGGAGGAACCTGTAATAGCAGAGAAAAATGCACATTGCCAGTCAGGCTCCCAGTCTGGATTTGTAGCTGTGTGTCTATGAGAGTCTCTCCCTCTGCTCTCAGATGGCATTGGCTCCAAAGCCTCCTCTTCCCTCATTTCTCTCTTTGTAGAAGCATTTGTGGGGCCTACAAAGCTGGAGCTGACTCCAGAGCTGGAGGAAACTGGCTAGTCTGCTTTCCTTTGTTCCTTGCAGCAGTAATCTGGACCAAAGAGGAATTTGTCCTTGAATATCATTGCCTATGTTCTTGGCATTTTCCCATTTGGAATTTTAGGGGCTTAACCTTAAGTGCCTAGAGCCTGGGAGACACTATTGCTGCTGCTGCTTCTGCCATTGTTGCTTTAGTAAGTAGACGCTGCTGCATTTTGCTGCAGAAGCTGCCAGACCCTGAGGCAGCGGAGGAGGGCTGTGGAAAGAAGAGGGAGGGTGCAGTGGAGTCCTGGCAGCAGGTGACCAGGCAGCAGCTGGGGGATGCTGGAGCCACCGAAGATGAAGGGCAATCATCTGATAGAGACAGGGGTCCCTTGGTTGGCAGGTAAATGAAGACTTGCTCTTTGTAATCTACCCAGACATGTAGCATAAGGTTGCTATTTCCTTTTTCACTTGCTTTCTGGGAATTTGACTAATGTGCTTAGCAGAGGGAGCCATTCTGTCTGACTGTGGCATCTTGGGTGATCACTCCAGACAGCCTGTCCTTGCAGGTCCCAGTGTTGCTATGAGGGAAACTATATCATAGCTGCCAGTTTCCCAGAGGAAAGGTAGAGGGAATGCTCTCCTAGGGAGAAGCAAATTGTAAATCTGAAGGTTGAGGAGACAGCCAGAGAAGGAAACTAAGTGATCTCAGGAAATTCAAAATAAAGGTCCCCTCCCTGCCTGTTGCATCTGGTGGTCTGTGGGTCTTGGCTGGGTTTCTCTAGGACCCCCTGATGGGCTTGTGTTTGTAATTCAGCCATTTCTGTGGTCAGACAAAATTTGGATTAGTATACAGGCATGGTACATATAAATAGATGTACAAAATGTTTCCTATTAACTGTTTTTTCTATTTTTTTGGCATTAACTGATTTTTTTTATTCCAGTTGCTATCCCTAGCCTTCTGCCTCACATGTGATACAGGGTACCTTTCTCCTTTATGTTTGTTTCAACTGTGTGTATTTGGCCTTTTGCCACAGCAGTCAGTACCAATCTTCTGCCGAGTACACCTGCTCAAGTATCTGGGCTTGTCTTTGTCCTTGGACCCGTTGCAGATTGAATCACCTCACAGCCTGCCTCCCAGGGAAGGGATGGCAGTTGTGTCAGCTCCCACTCCTACCCCCCAATCTGCCTGTTCCACCCATCCCTCTCCAGCCATCCATCTTTCACTGTCCTCCCAAGGCTGCATTTTGAAATCTTAACTTCTTCTAAGACAGGGCTGGCAAACTTTTTCTGTAGAGGGCCAGACAGTATTTTAGTCTTTGTGGGCCATATTGTCTGTGCTGCAGCTACTCAACTTTGCGAGTGTGGCAAAGCAAGTGTGCAGAAGCAGCCTTACACAATACATAAATGAATGGGTTTGGCTGTGTTCCAGTAAAACCTTATTGATAAACACAGGCAGCAGACCAAATTTGACCCACAGGCTCTAGTTTGTGGACCTCTGCTTTATTTTTGAATATTTTTTATTTTTAATTTTTCTTTTCTTTTTTTATTTTGAGACAGGGTCTTTCTTGCTTTATGACTCAGGCTGGTAGGCAGTGGCACCATCATCTCTAACTAGCTAACTGCAACCCAACCTTGAGGTTTAAGGGATCCTCTTGCCTGGGTTTAAGGGATCCTCTTGCCTCAGCCTCCTGAGTAGCTGGGACTACAGGCATGCACCTCCTGGCTAATTTTTCTATTTTTAGTAGAGATGGGGCCTTGCTATGTTGCTCAGGCTGGTCTTGAATTCCTGGACTCAAGTGATCCTCTCACCTCAGCCTCCCAAAACCCTAGGGTTATAAGCATGAACTGCTGTGCCACTGCGCCCAGCCTGGACCTCTGCTTTGATACTCTCTCTGATTTCATTCTGCTCTAGAAAGTAGTAACTCTCCTAAAAAGAGTGAATCCCTTGTAGCACACTGGTCATACTGCCTGAGGTCTGGTTCTAGCATCAAACCCTTAAGTAAGCCTCTTCAAGCCTTTGAGTCATGATGTTTCTGGGATTACGGAGGGCTGAACGCTGGATGAGGCAGGTCTGATTCTGCCTCTAGCAGAATCTGACTCTTCCCAACCACTTTCCTCCCATGCGCATCCTGGAGTGATCATGCAGTTTGCTCCTTTAGAAACCTGGATGATAGGGCTGCAGATACCCTGCAGAAAAAAACATTTGAGGTACTTGCATAGAAGACCACCATGACCCCAGGGAAAGGTCAGCAATTAGTTAGAAGCTGTCAGTTTTCAGAAGAAGCCTCTGACTCATCGGTAGTCGTACAGGAACCTGGTGGCAGAGTAAGGCATGACTAGAATCTAGAATTCTTTGTAAACTTTTTATTATGGACAATTTTGAATACAACACAAATTATCAACTCTTGGCTAGTCATTTTTATCCACACTCACTTTCCCCTATTCCTGTCCATTGGATCTAGACAAATTCATGACATATTTCGCCAGTAAATTCTTCAGTATTATGTCTGAAAGATATGGCAGAGTCTGAAACTCTTGATTCTATTCCAGGGCTTGTTCGGTGAGGACAGCCCTTGAGTGGAGACCAGCTGTCCTCTGGGTCTCCTGCCACACACACAGGTGTAATGTGCATGTAAATTCTCTCTCCCCCCTGGGTCGGCTGCCTCTTACTGCCAGGTCACAAAGGATTTCTGTTTCAGGGAATGGGAGGTGCAGTAGTAATCTCTGAATATGTAGGGAAGAATTTTCGTTCCCATAGTGTTTCTGGAGTTTCTTCTCTACTTGGTATTTCCAGCAGATTTTTAGAAGATACCTTTTTATTCTTTTTTTAAAGGATAAAACATTGTTTTTTTTGTTGTTTTTTTGTTGTTTTTTTTTTTAGGCAGAGTCTCACTCTGTTGCCCGGGCTAGAGTGCCATGGCATCAGCCTAGCTCACAGCAACCTCAAACTCCTGGGCTCAAGCGATCCTCCTGCCTCAGCCTCCCAAGTAGCTAGGACTACAGGCATGTGTCACCATGCCCGGCTAATTTTTTCTATATATTTTTAGTTGGCCAATTAATTTCTTTCTATTTTTAGTAGAGACAGGGTCTCACTCTTGCTCAGGCTGGTCTTGAACTCCTGACCTTGAGCGATCGACCCTCCTCGGCCTCCCAGAGTGCCAGGATTACAGGCGTGAGCTACTGCGCCCATCCGACAAAACTTCTTAATTTTGATAGAAAAATAATTTTGTGTCTTTTTAAAAACAACTTTCCTAATGATTTTACTAACCAAAATGAACTTGTGTTCCTCCTAAACCCACAAATCTAAGAATATGCCAGTTAAATGACAGCTCTCCCCTCCTACACTGTGACATCACGAGCTGCCTGTGACACCATGCCTGTCTGTCCCAAGTTGCCAGAAGTCCAAAGCCTTCTCTGCCCTGTTGAATTCAGGGGCTGTCTTGGAGGGGTTTAGACTGTCACCAGTTTGTCTTGAGCTTGGTTTGCATTTCTTCTTGGGTAACCCCAGACACTTCTGTGACAGGAGAGTGCTTGAAGAGCAATGTGACGAGGACCATCAGCCACCAAGGGATGGAGAAACGTCCCACAAGGCCCAGATTCAGCAGCAGCAGTGCTATGTGAACGATTTGAGGCAAGAAATCCTAGCAGGACAGATTAGAGCTGAGAAGGAACTGGAATTTGACCAGGCTTGCATCAGCCAGCAGATTAAAGAAAGTAGGTACCCACCATTAAAGTGTCTGCCTCACCTTCTCATTTCTTCCTTTTCATGCTGCCCCAGCCTTCTGTGTTCTCTCCTTTGTTTTCTTTGTGATATGATGGAACCTTTGGTATTAGGAGTTCTTTCCCATCTTTCAGAGATGAGAGGCTCTTACAGAGGGGTTGGAAGCAAGAATAAGGAAGCTAACTTCCTTATTGTCCCTCAGAGTGGGGGGCCTCCTACTCACTCCACTTGCACGTTTGTCCATGCCTTGCTGCCTGCCCTAGCACGTGCCCACTCTTGTGCTGAGGCCCCGTAGCCCTGCAGCCGTCATCCTGCCACATCACCCTGGCCAGCTCTTTCACTCCACACAGGTCTAGCCATGGCCAGAGGTGCCTGAGTCCAGGCAGCCACAGGCAGGGAGGAGGGTGCTGACCTTCTCTCTGGGTGTTTTTGGTTCCCAGATCAGCAGTGGCTGCTCAGAGAAGAGACCTGGCTGGCTAGCTTGCAGCAGCAGCAAAAAGACAACCATGTAGCAGAGAAAGAAGTTGAGGCATCTGTGGCACCTGATGTCTGGCTTCACACACATCCTGAGAATCAACCATCCCCACTTGTCCAAAGCCAGAAGAGGGTGGTACAACTGCAGCTCCTGCAGAGACACGCTGTTCGAGCTGCAGAACGGAATGCCCGGCGAAAAAGTGTCTCGTTCCAGCTAGAGAGAATCATCAAGAAGCAGAGATTGCTGGAAGCCCAGAAGAGACTGGAGCAGCTCAGGGCATTGTGCTGGCTGCAGGATGACAGCACCCAGAAATCCCCATACTGGCTCCCCAGCCCTGACGCTATGCTTCCAGTGTCTCGATGCAGAGGCAGATCAACAAATTGCAGTTCTTTGAGCCGCCGAAGGCTCTGCAGCCAGCGCTCACCCCAGCTACACAGGTACAGCCCACGGGTATTCACCTGGAAGCACTTGGTTAAAGCGTATAACATTGTTGCCCAGGCAATGTTCTTTACTCCCCAGTGCCTCAGTTTCCTCCATCTGCGAAGTGAAAGACAGGTTTACTTCTCTCTCCCTCATCACTTTTCCCTCCTCTGGCTACTCCTCTTCCTTCTCTGTATATCTTTTCAGACTCAGGCTTCTCCCTTATTCCTCACCCTCAGAGTAGTGATTCTGGCCTCTTTGATGCTGTCTTCTGAGCAAGGCTGTCAGCCTGATTTTTCACCTGCTTGTTAGACCTGGACTTCCCATGTATAGACCTGGACTACCCATACCCTGTATGTCTTGCATATCCCACCTCAGTCTCCTCCTGCTTCAAACAACACTTCTTCATTCTCACACTGCCTCCCGCTCCCTCCTCCTTGCCCTGCACTTTAAGTCAGCTTCCTGGCCCCACCTCCCACTTGGTGAGTGAGTACATCTTTTTGACTACCAGGTTCACATTAGGATCATCCTTATTTCTTTTCTCCATCACTCCTTACATGCAGTAAAGGGGAGCGAGGAGGATATGTTATTTCTCAAACTCCTTGGACCAGAGGCCTGTATCTTAGACCTTTTAATATCCTCAGGGCCTCTGCAGGAGGTTCACAATTGATGTCTGTTGGCATTGTTTGCTTACCTCTCTGGTCTTCAGGGTAGTAGGTGGGCTTTTTAAAACCTTTTTATTGTGAAAAAATTTTAAACATGCGCAAGGGTGAAAGAATAGTACACTTATCACCCGTATTCAGCAATTATCAGGATTTACTACACTTGCTATGTCTCCCCATCTTCCTGCTTTGTGATGTATTTTAAAGCAGCTCTTAGACATCATGTGATTTTAGTTCTATATTTTTAAGTATACACCTCTTAAAAATATGAATTTTCCTTATTAGCATAATATTATCACAACTACCAAAATTAAGATTACTTGATAAAATCTGAAACCTAGGTCACATTAAAATTTCTTTGGTTGGGCCGGGTGTGGTAGCTCACACCTATAATTCTAACAATTTAGGATGCCAAGGTGGGAGGATTGCTTGAGGTCAGGAGTTTAAGCCCAGCTTGAACAACACAGTAAGACCCCATCTCTTAAAAAAAATATATCAGCTGGGTGTAGTGGTGTGTGTCTGCTATTTCCAGCTACTTAGGAGGATTGCTTGAGCCCAGGAGTTTGAGGTCATAGTGAGCCCCACTGTACTCTAGCCTGGTCAAGAGAGCAAGATCCTATCTCAAAAAAAAAAAAAAATCTCTAATTGCCTCAGAAAATCTCTATTGATAGTTGGTTTTTCAAATCAAGATCCAAGATTTACACACTGCATGTGATATGTCTTTTAGGTTTCTTTTAATCATTCTTTTTGTTTTATTTCTTCATATTATTGAATATGAATATTGTTAAAGTGGATTAGTTCTGTAGAATGCACTACTTTATAGACTTATCTTTAGATTCCTCATAATATTATTTAAATTGTTCCTCCATTCTCATATTGCCTATCAACTGGGAAATTTCCCTAAAGGTATGATTAGATTCAGTTCTATGTTTTTATAATAGAAAGAAATTGAGGGCTGGGTATGGTGGCTCACACCTATAAACCTAGCAATCTGGGAGGTCTGAGAGGGGAGGATCATTTGAGGCCCAGAGTTTGAGACCAGCCTGAGCAAGAGCGAGACCCCATTCTCTACAAAAAGTAGAAAAATTAGCTGAATATGGTAGCACACACTTGTAGTCCTAGCAACTAAGGAGACTGAAGCAGGAGGATTGCTTGAGCAACAGTGAACTATAATGACGCCACTGCACTCTAGAATGGGACCCTGTCTCAAAACAAAACAAAAACAAAAAATTGAGGAACAGGGTGTACCTGGGACCTCTCGGAGAGCTGGGATCATAGTCCACATTTACCTATTGTACCTATAGAGCTTTTCTCTGGCTTTGCAGTCTGAGAGACAGTAACATGGCCCTGGTTTTTAATGTCTTTCAGAGCAAACTAAGTGGAAATTTATATTCCTTCGGTCAGCAGGAAGTAGGGGACCTATTACTTCTTCTGAGATGGCTTTCCTTATCTCCACAGTGTTTTCCCGAATTTGGATCCCTCCACCATGTCATCACCTGTGCCTGACCCCACTCACCAAATATCAGAGAAAACACCATCAGAGGAGTATATGCCACGGGCTGCTGCTTACCCTCCAAGGACAGGACGTATTCGCAAGAATAGCCTCCGTTCCTCAGGCCCAGGGAAGCCCTGTGCAGGCAGAGGAGCCTTGGCCAGTAGGGGAGCCTCAGCTCCAGACACTTACCTCACTGTGAGCCCCGAGTCTATTGACATCCAGGAAATGGATAGAGTGGGTAAGCAGCCCCATTGGATGGTGTCCCAGAGCTTAGCATCTCGGAGCCAATCAGCTAACAAGCTAAAGCCAAGGGATGAGGCAAAGACCCTCACCCCTACCACCCAGATCAGAAGAGCTAAGGGACTAGCAGGCCCTGGCCACATACAAGCTGGGTGGCGAGAAGAAGGGAACCTTGAGACCCACAAGGCTGCTAAGGGAGCCACTTGCAGTTCCCTATATCCTCAAGGACCCAAGCAGACGGCTGTGCATGGAAAGGCAGCCAAGACTTGTTGGGCACGGTACAAACCACCACCTTCAAGCAAGGCATCAAAAAGGCATCAGAGGGTATTGGCAGCTAGGGTCAGAGACTTTGCTAAAAAGTCCTCTCATTTGCCTCATGGCAGTCCTTTGAAGAGACAACATAGTGCAGGGGACCTGGACACCATGGCCTCACTCAGAGATTCTAGTCCAGTTGTATTCTGTGTAAGAAAAAAAGAAGATGATTTATCTGACACAGATAGCAATTACTCAGAGGATTCTCTCTCCTGTGTCTATGCCAAAGCCCCAAAGGAGCCACTGAAGCCAGAGGACCCTCAGGGGAAGAAGTGGAATCTCCCAGAGCCAGAGAACTCTGAAAGTGACGACAGCCAAATATCTGAGGACTCTCTGACTGAAAAGGAGTACCAAAGCCCAAACAAGAGCCCAGGGGGCAGTCATCTCACCAACAATGGCCAGCCCAGGGTCAGAACTAGAACCTCTGTGAGGGGCTTCACCGTGCCCTCGGACAGTGTCCTACTTGCTCAAGCTCACAGGAGCTGTGATAGCCTGATTGATGCTGGGGGGGATCTGGAGGAAGACCAGCAGGAAGAGCCTGTTTTTGGTTCAGCTGGTGAGATACCCACAGAGACTTTTTGGCGCCCACAGAACTATAGTCTGCCTATAGTGGACCAGGAGGCAATGTGCAGGCTTGATTCCATTGACCACAGGGTAGGAGGTAGGCTGGATGCCATCCTGCCAATAAGCAGCTCATTTTACCTTGATGCCTCATTCCACCCCCATTATGAGCCCTCTGAGTCAGAGGTGGAGGCAAGCTGCTCTGAACGAGCCAACCCTCCCCAAGACATGCAGCTTTCAAGAGACAGCCCATTGATGTCCATGGATTCTTGGTTTTCCTGCGACTCTAAGGTCAACCCCAGCAGCCCCCCAGGAATAGTGGGTTCTTTATGTCCAAGTCCTGATGTACAGGAATTTCAGTCCTGTGATGAGGAGAGGACTGGATACTGGCTAAATATTAAAGAACTAAAGCCATCAAGTATACAAACAGTCCTGTCATACAGCTCCAAACTGCCCCGAGGCAGTACTGAGCTACCCTGCAGTGTAAGAGATGAGGACACAACCTCTGCTTCTGATACATCAAAGCTGTCACTCTGGGGAACTCAAAGTTGTCTTCAACGAGGAGCTGATGGCACCTCTCAGGGCAGAGGTATCCCTGACACAGCCCAGCAGGGCAGCTCTGAAGTATCCCACAGTTCTAGTGTATCAGGTGTGCCAACTGCCTCTGCTACCTCATTCACTGATGTAGGCAGTGGCCAGGAAAGGGATTGGGCTGCCCTTCAGCAAAAGTATCTTCTTGAACTCTCTCATCCTGGTTTGGAGGCCATAGAGGAAGCCAGGCCGGCTTTCCTCTGCCTTGAGGAGGACTCTGGTTCCCTGACGCAAGCTTCTGGCAAAGGAGGAGATACTGTATTGCCAATAGGTCCTAGGGTATCTGGCAGTCTGGATTTTAATAACTTTCCAATCTGTCTATCCAAAATTAGGCGTGTGAGAGCAGAGAAAGAACAGGACAGTTTGAGTGCCAAGTTAGAAGGTACTTCAGATTTCTTTAGCACTAGTGAGAAAGAGATGAGTTATAATGAAACTTATTCAGCAGACTTAGAATCATTGGCATCTGGATCTATGAAGGCACAGATCTTTTCAGAAGAGAACGAAATACCAAATTCCATGATAGAATCTCGTGAAGTCAAACAGAACAACTTGCAAGAATGCTTTCAGGGTAGCAGGAAACCTGAACTTAAGACTTCCTCTGATGAGTATTTTTTCCAGAAGAGCACTTGTCACAGTACTGTCACCATAGCCACCAAAGCAAACCATCCACCCCAAGGCTGGGCTCCTCTCAGGAAAAATAGTGTAATCCAGCCAAGGCAATTAAGTCCTAACAGCCACTATCCCCTACAGGAAGAAAAGGCAGATTGCCAGGAGGGCACTAGGGAAGTAGTTGAAAGACACACAAATGTTTCTGTTGCCTTTCCCTCAGGTCCAGAGCTGTGCCTCCACTCTGCTCCCTGGACTCCATTCCCATCTTCCCTGCAGCCGCCTGCCTTGGAAACATTCTATGTGACCAAAAGCAGGGATGCCCTCACAGAAACTGCCTTAGAGATTCCAGCTTGCAGAGAAGCACGGGTGCCTTCCCCACCCGCTAGGGAAGCCTGGGGCTTTGGTCCGCACCTAGTCCTTCAAAATGCTTATTTGAAGAATAATTTGCCAGTGCTATCACAAAACCAGAATTCCCGGATTGCCTCGTCTCAGTGGGTCACAGCAGAGAGGCCAGTTGATTTAAACACCAAGGAAGTTGTCAGAGAATTAGGGAAATGCTCTGGAAATATTAAAGAAGAAAGCCATAATTCAGTTTATTTTTTTGTTGCTCAGAATAGACCTTTTCTCCCTTCTGCCAGCACAAAAGTGTGTGAATTTGAAAATCAAGTTGGAATTTTGAATATAAAACATGGTCTTGAAGCACTTGAGGGAGAAGAGGCCGCTTCCTCAGATAGTTTGGAGTCTGGGAAGCCTCTCCTCCTCATTTGTGAATCTGAGGCCAGTGGGGAGGAAGAGCAGGGTCAGAGTACAGTTCTAAGGCCGATCCGGGCCTGTGATGTAAAGAGACAGTTCCCTTCTGGGGCCAGGTCTGATTTCATCTGTAAAATCATCAGTTTAGGCCTTGAGAAGGACATGCCAGGGGAAACTGCTGTTTCTTTGGAGTCTAGATCAGTACATCACAGAGTAAGCAGTCCAGTGATAGTAGCTGAGGATGAGAGTCCAATGTGGGACGGGAAGAACGAAACTGGGCTGCTTGGAAAAGCTCTTCATCCCCAAGATAGCTCAGAAGAGTTTAAGCTCCCAGGGACAGAGTCTACACATGAAAGATTCCAGTTAGTTACATGCTCTCGTGAAAGAAACCCCAGTGAATGCAAGGGCCCTGGAAAGTCACAAGAAATGTTAAACCCCAAAGAAGAACCTTCTGGAAAGAAACAGAATAAAAGGGTTAATGGTGCTGATGAAATGGCGAGGCTAATTAGGAGTGTCATGCAGCTGGAAAATGGCATCTTAGAAATTGAATCCAAGCAGGTTAAGCAGCTTCATGCTTCCCATACACCAGGAATCAATAAGTTTGTGTTCCAGGACCAGAAGAATCAGAAGACTGACCATGTCCTTAGGACAGCCAGCTCTGGACACTGTTTGTCCTTCAAGGGTCAGCCATCTTCTCCAAAACAGACAGATGATGTCATCTTTAGGGGTGGTAAAACCAGAGAAATGGAGGTTAACAGTAGCACTGGGAATGATCCCCAGGTCCAGAAAATCACCCCAAGCCCCTTCGTGTCAAGGGAATGTGTACGAGAGAGTAGATCTGTGAGAGGGCAAACCCACTCTTCAAAGTTAGACAGATCCACCAAGGACGTGTGTGATTCTTTAGGGACATGCACAACTCACAGAGAGTCCCCCAACACTTCTCTTCACCCAAGGAGAATGAAATCATTAGCTAGAGCTCTGCCATTGCAGCCCAGTCCGGTGAGTTCTTCTGAGAATGATAGCGAGTGGGTAAAGGCATCAGCAAGCCTCAAAGGGCAGCCTTGGGGCTTAGGGAGTCTTGAGGAATTGGAGACTGTGAAAGGTTTTCAGGAAAGCCAAACTGCTGAACACATAAGTAGTTCCATGAGAAAGGAGCCAAAAGCTCAAGGTAGAGTTGAAATGGCCATGCAAGGGGGAGGAAGCCTACAGGAGGAGGAAAATGAGACAGTCTCGTTGACTCAGAAACTTTGTAGTCTAAGTCAGCTTTATATGGACACGTTTTTCAGCCAAGAGACTGTCTGCCCATTATCGAGCCAGACAGACCCCTCTACAGCTCCTCCCCAAGACCTGGAGAATACCTTGCCTTTGATTTCCCCAGGTCTGCCAATAAGCTGTCTTCATGATTGTGATGCTGTAGGCATCTCTTCAGTTGACTTTGTGCTGGATCCCACAATGTTGAAAATTCTTAATAGCCCTTTGGTAACTGGAGTGGAGCTTCAAGACCAGAGTGGAGAGACCAGAAGCCACAGCCCTCAGGGAAACGGAGGAGGCTCTTCCGTGGCATATGCTGCTCCCTGTGAGTCTCTGATATCCATGGCCCTGGGATCTCACTGTCAGTCTGGTGCACCAGAGAGCACCGAGGCCAGGATATCAGCAAGGACCAGCCTCCAAGACCAAGGAGGGGACCTCAGAATTGCCTCTATGGACTTGAGTACCAGGGAAGGTTTTGCTTCTGAAGCTGAGGTAGCTGTACCAAAAAAGACAAGAGCCAGTTCCCTGAGCAGGATCTCTAGCCAGCTTGAGAAGAGGGTCAGCTTCTCCTTAGAAGATGATGATCACCAGAGTACGGAGGCAAGGCTGAAGGCAGCGGAGGAGGCCGAGGCCCTCAGACATAGCAGCAGTACTTCCTTAGCACCTGTTTCCCTGCCGAGGGTACCTACTCCGGAGGCCAGGTTGTTGGAGCCCTCTGTCTATGCATCCATGTGTCTGGCTATCTTGGAGGAGATCAGACAGGCAAAGGCCCAGGGAAAGCAGCTTAATGACCTCGTGTCTGGGGAGACAGTCTTTCCTTACCGTGAAACTTTACTAGAACTCGAATGTTCTTCAAGGGCTGCTGGCAGGCCTCAGTGTACACAAATGGACCATTCAGTGTCAGATGGGACCAGGAGTGAGGGTAAAGCACAGGGGTCTCATGGGGCTTCTCTGTCTGCTGAACCAGGACGTCTGTCAGTTGATAAGAGGAAAGTCCAGGCCACACCTCTCTCTGCAGACAGCTTTCAACCTCCACCTACCACTGAAATTGACAGAGAGCCACGGCATCCCATGCAAGCTCTCTCCTATGGTGCCTCTGCTTTGGGCAGAAGACATAGTACTGGAGAACTGGGACATTTCCTGGGAGCTTGTGAACAGGTCTCATGTCCCTCTGGTTCTTTTGAAATCATAGAGAAAGAAGCAACCAGAACATCTTCCTCTGCTGTTCCTTTGGCCTTAGACAGTCTTCTTTCTTCAGCAGCTGTGGAGGGAGACAGGAAGGCAATATCAGAGGAAGTAGTGGCTGCCTTATCTTCTCAGGCCCCATGTGACGATCTTGGAGTGATTCTGCGTGGGCGAAGTAAGCCAGCTGCATGGGAGACTGCAGAGGGCATACCCCCTGGCAGTAGGGACAGCAGCCCAGAGCACCAGGAACCTAGAACTCTAGAAGCCACATATGGAGGAGGTTTGGATGACTTCTTATTGACTGCAGAGGGAAAAGAAACAGCCCAACTTGAAAGTCAGTCTGTGATCTGTGATGCTCAGAATTCTACAAGTCTCTCTTCTAAGCAAGACCATGTCCAAAGCCTTGAGGCTTCCATTGGCTTAGAAGAAGGGAGGGCAAGGCTCAAACAAGGTACTGTTCTGCCTGAAACCATGAGAAGGGTTGAGCTGGGAGCTCCTGCACAGGAGCATGTGAAGTGGAAGGGAAGTATTGTGTCTGGGCTGACAGAAGCCTGCGGGGCTGGCAGCAAACATCCCAGGCCAACCTCATTTCCAGATCAAAGACCTAGCCCAGATCCTGGGGGAGGTAGGGAGGAAACTCCATGCAGATGCCGAAGGGAAACTTTAGATTGCCCTGTCTTCTCAGGGAGCATTGAAGGCAGGCGGACTCTCAGCCCAGCTAGAGGGAAAGAGGAGAGCAGAATTTCTTGCTGCCAGTTGTGCAATTCTCATCGTGTTGCTACTTGTTCCTCCTGTTCCTCCACTTTACTACGTTGTAGAGATGGTGACCTGGGAAAGGAGACTTTCATGACTTCCCCACATACTGTCTACCCTGCCTGTGTAGTAGCTTCCAGGGCCTGTGAAATGGAGGAGAGAGAAGAGAGCTCTTCCAGGGAACCTGACATGCTCTTGGCACATGACCGTGAGCCCCAAAACATGAATATGGAATTTAGGCCAACAGAGAGCAGTACTCTTGAGCCCTCCTCTGTGGACGCTGTCTTATTTCCAACTCAAGGCTGCAACTCCCATTCTGCCCCTGATGTGAAGACAGGTTTTCTTAGCCACTCAGCTGCTGACAGAAGCTCAAGGTCACTAGAGGTTCCTGAAAAGACAGTTACTGAGAAGAAAGCCAGCACAGAACTTGAGGTTGCCCCTTTCCCTACAGGCAGGTACTCTGAGCCACTGAGGAAGTTTCAGGACAGCTCTGTAGGTTGCCAGAATGCACAGGTGTCTCAAACAAAGGCAGAACCACCTGCAACAACTCGGGGACCACACACCCTGAATTTAAGTGAAAGGTCTGCTGAGAGTGGGTCAGTGGTAGAGTCACAGCATGGATGTTTCAAAAATACCATCACATGCCTTTCAGAAAACCCACGACTTGCCACAGAGTCTAGGGATCACAATTGCTTGGATACCCAAGCCAAGTTTGTCGCAAGGTTAAAGTACACCTGCAGCCCCCAGGGTGACTGTCCCTGGGAGGAGGAAGAGCAACAGAGAGACCAGGATTCAGGTGGTGGTGAAGACCCTGCCCAGGGCAGGAAAACCCCACCTTCCAAGGAAGGTGGCTTGGATGGCTGTCGGATTATAAATGCTGGGAAAGAGGAAGTGGCTGTGGCCAAGCCTTTCTCACTGGGCTTTGAAGACCCAGCTGGTGTGTCCTCGGGACAGAGTGAAGTACCACAGCCTGCTGCCCAGCGGCCTGGCCAGCCCCACCACAGGTGCTCACGTCCTGTGATCGCGGTCTTCTCTGGCCTTGAACACTCCAAGTCCTCCCCCAGACCGTACTTCTCTGTGGTCAGCTCTTCTCGATCTCTGCAAGAGCTGAACTTGAGTGCGAAGACTACTTCCCCTGCAGACGAGGACATGCAGGGGCCTAACCGATTGTGGAACCCACACCTCAGGGGCTTTTCCATGGGAAAGTCAATGGTGAGAACATGCCTGAAGACTGAGGACTGCCATGAGAAACCCTCATCTAACTTGGATGATTGCACTGCTGATCACAGGCCCCTAAAACCTGCCATCCCTCCTTACCCGACATATTCTACTCACTCATGCATGCCAACCCCCACTCTCGTGACCAGCTGGATGGCTGGTGCTTTAGATCAGGCGCAGCAGGGAAAGCCAGAGCAACTGGGTATCCAGGTCAGGCCAGAGAATTTGTTCTCTCAGGTGGACAAAGGCATGTTGCACTTTGGCTCCAGAGATATCAATCCCTACGTCCCACCCCGGCATCCAGAGGGGCCTGTGTGTATCGGCTGGAAACAGTATGTGTTTGGCAGTGCAGTTGGTGTCTCCTGTAACCAGGAACCCCAGGGCATGATGCCGTCAAATGAGTCCCAATGCCCCGGCACGGACAATGGCCTAGAGGACCAGAACTCCCCATTCCACTCTCACCTCCACACCTGTGCCAGTGCTCGGGACCTGACGAGCACCTGCAGCAGCATTGCGACTGCCCAAGCTTCAAATGCATGGGGGTCCTCACTTGTTTTAGGAGGCCCCCATGTCCTGACCGGCCCCGAAGAAGCAGCTCCCACTGTGGGTCCTGACAAGAGACCCTGTTCCCCCGGGGGGGCAGGCTGTCTGAGGGGCGAGTCCCACTTGGCTGAAGGCAGTGCTGCAGGTCCAGTGGATGAGGTGATGCCACCATGTCTGTCAGAGACAGACTGCCCTGTGGGACAGGTCAGAATGAACACATTTGAGCAGGGCACACAGACCCTGGGTTGCAGGCTCCATCGGAGCTGCACTGATGTCTCCTCTGCTCAGCTTAAAGACAATATGGCATCAGCCCCTGATCTGGCCTCGTGGGCCAGCATGCACAGCCTGTCTCTCCACCTCTCACAGCTCCTGCACAGTACTTCAGAGCTGCTTGGGAGTCTCTCCCAGCCCGGTGTGGCCAAAAAGGAGCAGAACACCAAAAAGGACACCCTTGATGAGGCCCCACAGGCCCTTATGATGGACGGCTATACTCAAACCACTGTGGATGAGGCCAGCCAGACCGACCTGGCCTCACCTCTGTGCCACCAGGCCTCAGAGGCCAAACCTCAGGAAAACAATGTGATCCTTGAAGTGCTGAGCTCAGGTATCTCAACCATGTCTCAAGCAAAGGGAGATGTCTCAGGGGCATTTCAGAAGAGAGAGGCAGAGGAAACGGCATGGAAAATGGCACAGTTCCCAGATCTTCAGCAAGCAAGCACTCACTGCAGGTCCCAGAGCCCTCTGACATGCTCAGCCCCCTTAAGGTTTCAAAAAGACCCCCTTGTGCAGGCCCTTCCTTCTGTGATCCCACCAGTTCCTGACACTTTCCTGCCTCCCATTTCCCCACTGGAGGAATCCCATTGCATGGCTGTCAGCAGCTCCAGCCTTGGCACCTCTCACTCCCCAGTGCTCTTCCACCATGCTTCAGACTTCATCAGGGAGCCTGGGATGCAGAAGAAGCTGGGCCCCACAAGTGCCTTGCTGGTGGACAGAGCCTCCTCCCCAATCCTCACTCTTAGTGCCAGCGCCCTAGAGTTGGATCTCCCCCGAGGCTCTTTGATTCCCTCAGCCCCCTCAGCTCACCCTCTTGACGGTCACCAGAAGCTCTACTCCAGCCCAGATCCTCCTCCTGCCACCCTCGAGCCTCTAATGGACAATTATCCCCAAACCATTGAAGAGTCAGATAGTTCCCAGAGAGCTAAGACTCTGGGTGGAGAAGGTCTGTCGGAAAGAAGTAATGGGAGGTGCTTCCTTGAGTTATGCTCCCCACACAGCCCACGACAGAGCCCAGAACTCCAGGTTGGTCTTGTAGGGCAGCCGCCCCAGCACCTTGAGCCCAGCACTGTCATCGAGGACCCCAGCAGACTGCTACCTCCTCCGCCGCCGCGCAGGAGCCGGAGGCCGGCCGACAGCTTGGTGCCTGAGGAGGTCGTTTCCCCAGAGCATGGCCCACTGAGCAGTAGGGGGCCAAGTCGATGGCAGAGCAGGACAGAAAATGGGGGTGAGAGTTCCGTGTCTCCAGTGGAGCCACAACCTACTCTGGACGTTTCCTCCTCGTGGGGAGGCCTCCGACACCTCAGCCTCTGCCCTGAATCTGAGCTGACTGGTACTGCAAAGCTCCAGGGTTCTGCCTTGAGCCCGTCTCAGGCCTGTAAGCCTGAGGGGCTGCGGCGCCCCAGTTCCCAGATGTGCATGGCCCCCGAGCCGCAGCATCATGGTCTGAGGGACCTCCCAGTGCATAATAAATTTAGTAACTGGTGTGGGGTTCAGGATGGCTCCTCTGAGGGCCTGGGTGTGACTAAAGAGCTGGGGACCAGCTGTGATGCCAGCCTTGGAGAGCAGGGACGGGGTCCCCTACAACCTCCTAAAGGCCAGAGCCAGGATCCTGAGTGGTCCCAGAGCAAGCAGATCCCTCTGCAAGTTGGGGCCCAGAACGTCTCACTGAGCATGGAACTCACGGAAGCAAAACTGCACCGTGGCTTTGGGGAGGCAGACGCCCTGCTGCAGGTGCTACAGAGTGGCACGGGGGAGGCACTTGCTCCCGTTGAACCTGTGCCATCCACCTTGGAGGAGATCTATGCTCGGTAAGGGCCGCCGGCCTGGCATTGGGAGGGCGAGGGGTGGGCTGAGAAGAAAGAACCTGAGTGGACTAACAGCTTGCAGTTCCCTCTGGCCTGATTCGTCTCTGGGATCTTCCAGGGGTCAGAGGTAGAATGTGAGGTGAAAGGTATTTGGGGCCAGCTTAGGTTGAGTCAATCACGTTTTGCCTCAGGAAAAAAACAACCATTGAGACCCTCAGGAGAGAGCGGGCTGAGCGACTTGAGAACTTCCGCCGGACACGAAGCCTGAGTCCCCAGAAGCAGGTGAGCCTCCTGCCCAGTAGAGATGTCCCCAGCCGGGACCTTGACTTGCCCAGCAGGCGCCGAGAATACCTGCAGCAACTGCGGAAGGATGTCGTGGAGACCACCAGGTAAGGGTGAACTCAGAACCTGCAGGGAGCAGGCTCTGTGGTGGGCAGGGGATTGTGGGGAGCAGGGACTGGAGTTTTAGCACCCTGGGGGGTCCTCAGTGCCTGTGGATGAGTAGAGGTGGGTGTGGGAGACTGAGGCAAACGGAAAAAAGAATTAGAGAGGGACTAGGGCAAGGGAGGGCCGGGCAGAGGAGTCCTGGGAAGGGACGGGCAGAGGGGCTCTGACACACTGTGTGAGTCTGCAGGCCTGGATCTCAAAACGGCCTGCTCCTCTCTATCCAGCAACATCTCCTGAGGATCTAAAATCAAACTTTAAGACCCTGTGGGCAAAGGGAGAATGAATCCTTCAAGGCAGTGGTGTTGACCTAGCCTGGGTGGGCCAGCCAGGGCTGTCACCAGCCTGTCACATTAGAAGTTATCTTTCCATCCTGCGATCTTCCCCAGGAGCCCAGAGTCAGCGTCGAGGCCTGCTCACCCGCCTTCTGACATAGAGCTGATGCTGCGAGACTACCAGCGGGCCCGTGAGGAGGCCAAGGTGGAGATTGCCCGGGCCCGGGACCGACTGCGGGAACGGGCAGAACAAGAGAAGCTGAGAATCCGCCAGCAGATTACTTCCCAGCTGTTTCAGGTGGGCAGTGGGGCGAGATTCTCATTTTAAGATAGGCCTGGAGCCCAGGGCAGACCTCAGACTGGATCAGTCTTCACCGTGGTTGCCTCTGAGTCTTGGGACGTAACATTTGGGGGAGAGAGTGGGACCCATGGTGTCAGCCCAAAGCTGAGCTCACTCCCTCTTTACATCCTCGTTAGACCAGCTCCTGTCTCCAGGTGGTGGTCTGGGAGGAAGAGGCCTGGGTGTGTGGTGGGGCTGTGGGGCTGTGTGAAGAGTGATGGCTTTGGGAAAGCGTGGGGTGTCAGGCTGAGTTGGGTGGCACTGGGGGCTGGGTGGTAGGGGCTGTGAAGGTGAGAAGGGCTGGTTTGGAGTGGGAGGGATGCAGGTGGTGAAGGGGCATCAGAAGCTGGTTGATGTTGATCTGGCCTTCCCAGGAAGAAGAAAAACTGCACACGCTGGCCAACTCCAGCTCCCTGTGCACCAGCTCCAACGGAAGCCTCTCGTCTGGCATAACTTCTGGCTACAATAGCAGCCCAGCCCTGCCCAGCCAGCTCCAATCTTCGGAGGGCGAGGTAAGCAGGCTGTGTTGGGAACGAGCCAGGACTGCTGAGGCGAGGATTGGGGCAGGATGCTGTGTCTTCCGGATGCCCACAGGAGCCCTTGTCATGTTCAGGCCTTTGCGCTCCCCTTTAGTTTTGCCTCCCTCTGTTCATTCGTTCATTCAACAAGTGTGTGTTATGTAGGCATTATTTTAGGATATAGCCGTGAATAAAACTGTTCTTGTTCTGAAACAGACTGTTAGAGGGATGCATGTTAAACAGCCTATTTTATGATTATTTAATTATTGTTGCAATAAATTATTTGAAGAAGGGGTGCTAAGCCAGCACAAAACAAGGGGTCTGGCCTAGTCTGGAAGGTCGGGAGAGAGTGCATTTAAACTGAGACCAGGAAGAGGAGAGACAGTTAATGCTTATAGTGGTGCTGTTTGGGGAGAGATGTGGGCCCCACAAGTCAGGCCTTGAGGAAAGGAGAGCTTGAGGAACTAAATGAAAGGTAGTGTGGCTGAAATAAGAGCAAGATGGCAGAATGGCATGAGAAAGGACTAGAAAAGGCCAAATCATGTAGACTGTATTGAGAATTCTGGGCCCTTTCTAATCTATCTGATCATGTTACTCCCCAAAAGTGAGGAAGCTGCTGAAAGTGATGGCTTGTAAGTAAGGGAGTAGAATGATCTAATTGTAAGAGAAGGATGCAAAATTGGCTGTGGGGATTTGACCATGTCAAAGTCAAGCCACAGATGATCACTTGGTTTGTGGCGCTGCCAGTGAACATGAACAGATGTGTGGATGTCATGAAGAGACAGCATCCACAGGGCTTGGTGACTTGCTGGATGTGAGAGGAATGCAGAGAGGGGATCTAGAACACACCTCTTTAACTTGAGCACTGAAGAGGTGGCGATGTCAACAATGACAAGGAACACTGGAGGGAGGACCAGGTTTTGTGGGGAAAGATCAAAAGTTTAGATGTGTGTTTACTGGATTAAAGGTGCCTGTGAGAAATCCAGGTGGAGCAGTTGAATCAGGCAGGCAGTTGAAAATACAGATCTAGAAATCAGAGGTAAGATCTGGCTGGGGATAAAGGTTTGAAATTCATTTTATAAACAAAACTTAATATAGTAAGGAAAATAATATTCAAACAGTAGCAAAGGACCTGTAACATCAGGTGCATCTCTGAGTCTTCTGTGTGCCTTCCTCAGAAGCAGTCATCTGTCCCAATTCCTATATATTTCCAGAGATGCATCTATTAAGAATGTATCTTTTTGTAAAGCACATGGAAGTATACTGTACTCACTTGGTCACTTTGCTTCTTTCCCTTAAAAATATCTTTTGGATATCGTTGCATATCAGTAAATCTAACTGATTTTAAATCTTTTAAATAACTGAAGTGTTTCTTTTTTCTCTTATTGCATGTTTTTAAGTGTAATGTCTTATGTAGATAATATATAGTAGAAAAGGCAAAAATATTCATATATAGGTTGAACATCCCCAATCTGAAAATTTGAAATAAAAAATGCTCCAAATTCTGAAACTTTTGAGCACCACTGTGATACAATTGGAAAATTCTACGCCTGACCTCATATGATAAGTCCACAGACAAAACATAATCAAAACTTTGTTTTATAGGAGGCTGAGGCAGAAGGATCACTTGAGCCCAGGAGTTTGAGGTTTCTATGAGCTAGACTGATGCTACTGCACTCTAGCCCATGGGCAACAGAGTGAGACTGTCTCAAAAACAAAAATAAAAACTTTGTTTTATGTATAAATTGTTAAAAATATTGCATAGAATTACCTTCAGTCTATGTGTAGAAGGTGTGTATGAAATAGAAATGAATTTTGTGTTTAGGGTTGGGTCCCATCCCTACGACATTTCATTATGTTATATGCAAATATTGCCAAATCAAAAAAATTCAAAAATCTAAAACATTTCTGGTCTCAAGCATTTCGGAGAAGAGATGCTCAACCTGTATAAAGGTGTATAGGAAAATACCCATCCCTGCCCCCAGTCTACCTAGTTCTTCTTTGTCCCACCCAAGGAAAGCACTGTTGTTTTAGGGGGGCATCCTCCTAGAGGTATTTATGCATACAAAATAAAGCATATTATGCCATTGTTCTATACTTTGTATTTTTTTCTGCTCAGTATATTTTGTTTTGGAGTTCTTCATTTTTCTTCTTTTGTTTTGGACACAGTGTCTTGCTCTGTCTCCAAGGCTAGAGTGCAGTGGCCTCATCATAGTTATAGCTCGCTGCAACCTTAAACTTCTGGGCTCAAGCGATCCTCCTCCTCAGTGTTCCAAGTAGCTAGGAAAACAGGCCTGCACCACCATGTCCAGCTCATTTTTCTATTTTTAGTGGAGACAAGGTCTCACTCTTGCTTAGGCCTGGTCTTGAACTCCTGACCTCAAGCAATCCTTCCACTTTGGCCTCCCAGAGTGCTAGGATTACAGGCATGAGCCACTGTGCCCAGCCTGGAGCCCTTTCTATTTGAGAATGTGAAGAACATTCTCTTTTTTTACATTGCTGCATAGCATTCCATTGTAGAGATACATTGTAATTTATTTAATAAGTCCTCAAACTTGGATTTTTTTTTGCTGTTAGCAACAGTACTATAGTGCATGGACCATTTTATACATGTACAAATACATCTGTGGGATAAATTCCTGGAAGTAGCCTTGTACAAAGGGTGGGTAAATGCATTTGAAATTTTTGATTGATGTTGACAGATTTTTTTTTCAGAGATGTACCAATTTATTTATTTATTTATTTTGAGACAGAGTCTCACTTTATTGCCCAGGCTAGAGTGAGTGCCATGGCATCAGCCTAGCTCACAGCAACCTCAAACTCCTGGGCTCAAGCAATCCTACTGCCTCGGCCTCCTGAGTAGCTGGGACTACAGGCATGCGCCACCATGCCCGGCTAATTTTTTCTATATATATTAGTTGGCCAATTAATTTCTTTCTATTTATAGTAGAGACGGGGTCTCGCTCTTGCTCAGGCTGGTTTTGAACTCCTGACCTTGAGCAATCCGCCCGCCTCGGCCTCCCAGAGAGCTAGGATTACAGGCGTGAGCCACCGCGCCCGGCCCGAGAGGTTTTTAAATATATTGGCAATAGCCTTTGATATCAGTTACAAATATTTTTTCGCAGTGCTTCATTCTCTTTTGACTTATTGTGTTTGGAGCTATGCAGATAGATATATTTATCAGTTTTCCTTTTATAGTGTCTAGGTTGTTCTGAACAATAATTAGAAACATTCTCCAATCTGAGTTATAAAGAATTTCTCCCATGGTTTCTTCTAGAACTTCTTTGGTTTTATTTTTCCTATTTAAATCTTTGTTCCATTTGGAATTATTTTCATATATACAGTATGAGGTGGGGATCTGACTTTCTTCTTCCCAGATGACTGTCTAGTTGTCCCCATGATGCTTGTCAGGCAGTTTGTCTTTGCCTCACCAGTGTAAGGTGTTCCCTTTCCTTGTACCAAAGCTTAGAATAGATTTTTTCCTGTGGTAGCACCAGTCCTCCCACTACCCACATTGCTCTCCTCTTTCTGAGATTTTCCAGAGTATTCTTTCCTGTTTATTTAAGATAATTTTAAGAGTCTTATTTATAACTAGCATAATAATTAGTAATATAAATGTTTATGGGAAGCCGGGCGCGGTGGCTCACGCCTGTAATCCCAGCACTCTGGGAGGCCGAGGCGGGTGGATTGCTCAAGGTCAGGAGTTCGAAACCAGCCTGAGCAAGAGCCAGACCCCCGTCTCTACTATAAATAGAAATAAATTAATTGGCCAACTAATATATATATAGAAAAAATGAGCCGGGCATAGTGGCGCATGCCTGTAGTCCTAGATACATGGGAGGCTGAGGCAGCAGGATTGCTTGAGCCTAGGAGTTTGAGGTTGCTGTGAGCTAGGCTGACACCACAGCACTCACTCTAGCCTGGGCAACAACACGTGACTCTGTCTCAAAAAAAAAAAAAAAGAAAAAAAATTATGGGAAACAGTGTGATGTTTTAATACATGTGTACATGGCATAATGATCAAATGGCGGGACTTAGTACATCTATCACTTTAAACATTTATCATTTCTTTGGGGTGACAATATTCAAAATCCTGTCTTCTAGCTGTCTTGAAATATACAATACATTATTATTAGCTATAGTCACTCTGTTGTGTAATGGAACACCAGAACTTAATCTTCCTTTCTAGCTGTAACTTTGTACTAGTTGACTAACCTCTTCCCATTCCCACCTCACATGCCCCCTTCCCAGCCTCTGGTAACCCATATTTTACTCTCTACTCATATGAGATCAACTTTTTTAGATTCCACATATGAGTGTGATTCTATGGTATTTGTCTTTCTATGCCTGGATTATTTCACTTAACATAATGTCCCCTGGGTTCAATCATGCTGCAAATAACAAGATTTTATTTTATTTTATTTTTTAAGAGATAGAGTCTCACTTTGTTGCCCAGGCTAGAGTGAGTGCCGTGGCATCAGCCTAGCTCACAGCAACCTCAATCTCCTGGGCTCAAGCAATCCTGCTGCCTCAGCCTCCCGAGTAGCTGGGACTACAGGCATGTGCCACCATGCCCGGCTAATTTTTTTTGTATGTATATTTGTAGTTGGTCAATTAATTTCTTTCTATTTTTAGTAGAGACAGGGTCTCGCTCTTGCTCAGGCTGGTTTTGAACTCCTGACCTCGAGCAATCTGCCCACCTCAGCCTCCCAGAGTGCTAGGATTACAGGCGTGAGCCACCACGCCCGGCCAAGATTTTATTTTGTTTCATGGCCAAATATATATAAGTATTTTCTTGTATATATATACCACATTTTCTTCACCCATTTATCTGTAAATGGATACTTAATTAAGTTGATCTATCTCTTGGCTATTGTGAATAGTGCTGTAGCAAATATGGGAGTGTAGATATCTCTTTGACATACTAATTTCATTTCCTTTGGCTGTAATACCCAGTGGTGGGATTGCTGGATCATATGACATTTCTGTTTTTAATTTTTTAAGGAACTTCTATACTATTTTCCATATTGGCTATGCTAATTTATGTTCTCCTACCAGCAGTGTGTAAGAGTTCCCTTTCTTTACATCCTTGTCAACATGTTATTCTTTCTTTTTGATGCTAGCCATTGTAACTGGGATGAGATGATATTTCATTTTAGTTTTTATTTATATTTCCCTAATGATTAGTGATGTTGAGCAGTTTTTCTTATATTTATTGGCCGTTTGTATGTCTGCTTTTAAGAAATGTCTATTCAAATCTTTTCCCCATTTTTAAATTGGATTATTTGATTTTTTAAAATTTTTTTGCTATTGAGTTGTTTGAGAGCCTTATATATTCTAGATATTAACTTCCTGTCAGATGCATAGTTTGCAAATACTTTATCCTATTCTGTAGGTTGTCTCTTCACTTAGCCGATTGTTTTCTTAGCTGTGCAAAAGCTTTTTAGTTTGATGTTGTCCCATTTGTCTATTTTTGTTTTTGCTGCCTGTGCTTTTAAAGTCTTATCCACAAAATCCTTGCCAATCCAGTGTCATAAAGTATTTCCCCTGTGTTTTCTTCTTGTAGTTTCATAGTTTCAGGTCTTAGATTTAAGTCTTTAATCCATTTTGAGTTGATTTTTATGTATCATGAGAGCTAGAGATCTAGTTTCATTTTTCTACATGTGGATATCCAGTTTCCCCAGCACCATTTATTGAACAGATTGTCTTTTCTCCATTATATGTTCTTGGCACCTTTATCAAGAATTAGTTGGCTATAAATGTGTGGATTTATTTCTGGGTTCTGTTCTCTGTTCTGTTCCATTGGTCTATGTGTCCTTTTTATGCCAGTCGCATGCTGTTTTGGTTGCTATAGCTTGGTAGTCTATTTTGAAGTCAGGCAGTGTGATGCCTCCAGTTTGTTTTGCTCAAGATAGCTTTGGCTATTTGGGGTCTTTTGTGGTTCCATATAAATTTTAGGGGTTTTTTATTTCTATGAAAAATGTCATTGGTATTTTGATAGGGATTGCATTAACTCTATAGATCACTTTGGGTGATCTGGACATTTTAACAATGTTAATTATTCTAATCCATGAACACGGAATATCTTTCCATTTATTTCTGTCTTCTTTAATTTCTTATATCAGTGTTTTATAGTTTTCACTGTAGAGATCTTTACCTCCTTGGTTAAATGTATTCCTAGGTCATTCATTCATTTATTATTACTATTGTAAATGGGATTGCTTTCTTGATTTCTTTTTCAGATAGTTTGCTATTGGTGTATAGAAAAGCTACTGGGTTTTGTATGTTGATTTTGTATCCTATGACTTTATTAAATTCATTTATTCTAACAGTTTTTTAGTGGAATCTTTAGAGTTTTCTGTATATATGATCATGTCATCTGTGAACAGGGACAGTTTGACTTCCTCCTTTCCATTTTGGATAACACTTATTTCTTTTCTTTTTTTTGACACAGAGCTCACCTTTGTTGCCCAGGCTAGAGTGGAGTGCCATGGCGTCAGCGTAGCTCACAGCAACCTCAAACTCCTGGGCTCAAGTGATCCTCCTGCCTCAGTCTCCTGAGTAGCTGGGACTACAGGCATGTGCCACCATGGCCGGCTAATTTTTTCTATGTATATTAGTTGGCCAACTAATTTCTTTTTTATTTATAGTAGAGACGAGGTCTCGCTCTTGCTCAGGCTGGTTTTGAACTTCTGACCTTGAGCCAATCCCGCGCCTCGGCCTCCCAGAGTGCTAGGATACAGGCGTGAGCCACCACGCCCGCCAACACTTATTTTTCTCTTACTTAGTTGCTTCTGGCTGGAATGTGCAGCATTATGTTGTATAAAAGTGTTGACATACCCTAAAATCAAAGTCTGGAAAAAAAAAAAAAAAAAAAAGTGTTGAGAGTGACATCCTTGTTTGTTCCAGATCTTGGAATAAAGCTTGAATTTTCCCCATTCAGTATGATGCTACCTGTGAGTTTATCGTATATGGCCTTTATTATTTGAGGTATATTTCTTCTGTACCAGTTTATTGAGAATTTTTATCATGAAAGATGTTAATTTTATTGAATAGTTTTTTACTATCTTCAGCTTGGGTCCTGTGTCCTTTTGACATGCTCCATCCTTTTCCCAAGGCTCCTTGTAAGAAAATTTATAATTAATAATTAATGATTCAGGAACTAGTTTCTGCGCACATGTAAACCCACATGGCGTAAGTGGTCGTTGGCATAGCGTCTTTACACTAGCGGCTAGTCTCACTGTTTATATGGTCATTTATGCATGGTGTCACTTTCACCTTAACTTTTTTATTTGGTGTTGTGAGTCTATTACCCTGGACCATGCCTCCAAAGTGAAAGTGCACTGCAAGTCCAGGAGAGCCTGCAGTGAAGAAAAAGGTGATTATAATGGAATGGAAAGTAGAAATAATTGTTTGGGGAAAGACCAACCCCATCATTCATTGAGAAGCATAGCCTTCAATCACTCAACTATCAAAATAATTATAAAGTGAGAATAATGGAACATGTGAGAGCAGTGCTTCATGAAACATCAATAATTACTATTATTTGTTAGAAAAGTCAAATAAGTGTAACATTCCTATTAGCCTAGTGTTAATGCTGCATTAGGTGTACCTTAATGGTATTTTTGAATTTCTCCTATCTCCTGTCTAAACTTTTGTATGAGTTTGTTTTTCTGTTCTGTTTGTTTGAATTAAAAGAAATACAGGCCGGCGCGGTGGCTCACGCCTGTAATCCTAGCTCTCTGGAGGCCGAGGCGGGCGGATTGTCTGAGGTCAGGAGTTCAAAACCAGCCTGAGCAAGAGCGAGACCCTGTCTCACTATAAATAGAAAGAAATTAATTGGCCAACTAATATATATAGAAAAATTAGCCGGGCATGGTGGCGCATGCCTGTAGTCCCAGCTACTCGGGAGGCTGAGGCAGCAGGATTGCTTGAGCCCAGGAGATTGAGGTTGCTGTGAGCTAGGCTGACGCCATGGCACTCACTCTAGTCTGGGCAACAAAGCGAGACTCTGTCTCAAAAAAAAAAAGAGAGAATACAATAATTTCTGTAACTTATTACAGTACACGGGTATTATTACAGTTTATACTATTATTTATTACCACATATGAGCCATTATAGTATTGTTATTATTACCACGTATGCGCTGTTCATCAGGGATCTGAGTTACATAAAAATTTGACCTAAAGATGTTCTCAGGACTGCCTGTACTTTAATTCATTTATCCTATGTTTTTATTATAAATTATTGGCTTTTAGGATATTCACAGAGTTGTGTCTCTATCACCACCATCAATTTTAAAATATTTTCATTACCCCAGAAGAAACCCCATGCCATTGGTTATCACTCCCCAGACCCACCACCCCCTGGCCCCAGGCAACCACTATCTATTTTCTGTCTTGGTGGATTTGCCTATTCTGGACATTTCAAATAAATCATAATATGTGGTCCTTTTTGACTGGCTTCTTTCTCTTAGCATGTTTTCAGGATTGTGTTAGTTTCCTAGGAGTGCTATAACAGATTACTACACACAGGGTGACCAAAAACAACAGAAATTTATCCTCTTATAGTTCTTTAGGCCTGAAGGCCAAAATGTTAGCGTCAGTAGCACCATTCTCCCTCAGAAAGCTCCTGGGGGAAGAATCTATCACATGCCTCTTTTCAAGCTTCTGGTGGTTGCCAGCAAGCCTTGGTGTTCAATCCAGTCTCTGCCTCTGTCTTCACATGGCATTCTCCCTCTGTGTGTGTGTGTCCGTCCCTGTGTCTTCACGTAGCCTTCTTATAAGGACACTAGTCGTTGGACTGAGGGTCCACTCTAATCCAGTGTGATCCAGTGTGATCATCTGCAATGAACGTATTTCCAAATTAGGTCAATCCCCAGATACATATGGGGGGTTAGGACTTCAGTGTTCTTTTACTAGAGATGGGTTCATTCGTGTTATAGCTTATATCAGAACTTCATATGCTTTTATGACCAAATAGTAGTCCATTATATGAATAAACCACATTTTACTTATCCATTCATAAGTTGATGGCCATCTAGGTTTCTGTTTTTTTGCGTACTATGAATAATACTGCCCTGAACATTCCTGTAAAAGTTTCTATATGGGCATATGTTTTCATTTCTCTTGGATATGTGTCTAAGAGTTAAACTGCTAGGTCACAGAGAAACTGCCAGACTATATTTCAAAGTGGCTGCACCACCTTACATTCCCCCCAGCAGTATGTGAGGGTGTATTTCCCCACCAACACTTGCTGTTGTCTGTTCTTGATTATAGCCATCCCTGTGGCTGTGAAGTGGTACCTTATTGTGGTTTTGATTCACATTGTCCTGATGGCTAATGACGTTGAGCATCTTTTTATGTACTTTTGGCCAGTTATATCTTCTTTGGAGAAATGTCTATTCAGGTATTTTGCCCATTTTAACATTTCATTTATTTGTCTTTTTAGTATTAAGAGTTCTTAGCCGGGCGCGGTGGCTCACGCCTGTAATCCTAGCACTCTGGGAGGCTGAGGCGGGCGGATTGCTCGAGGTCAGGAGTTCGAAACCAGCCTGACCAAGAGCGAGACCCCGTCTCTACTATAAATAGGAAGAAATTAATTGGCCAACTAATATATATAGAAAAAATTAGCCGGGCATGGTGGTGCATGCCTGTAGTCCCAGCTACTCGGGAGGCTGAGGCAGCAGGATTGCTTGAGCCCAGGAGTTTGAGGTTGCTGTGAGCTAGGCTGACGCCACGGCACTCAATCTAGCCTGGGCAACAAGCGAGACTTTGTCTCAAAAAAAAAAAAAAAAAAAGAGTTCTTTATATATTCTAGTATAAGTTCTGTATCAGATACTTTACTTACAAAAATTTTTTCTCCCATTCCGTGTCTCTCTTCACTGTCTTGATATGGTGCCCTTGGAAACACAAAGTTGTTAATGCTGATGATGTCTAGTTCATGTATTTTTTCCTTTGTTCCTTGCACTTTTGGTTTCATATCTAAGAAACTAGTGCCTAATCCAAGATCACAAAGAGTATGTCTGTTTTCTTATAATACTTTTATATTTTTAGCTTCTACATTTAGTTATTTGATCCATTTTTAGTTAATTTTTATATATACTGAGAGGATTGAATTTCATTCTTTTCCATGTAGATATCTAATTCTCCTGACACCCTTTGTTGAATAGATTATTCTTTTCCCCATTGAGTTGTCTTGGTACCTCTGTTGAAGATCCATTGACCATAGATGTGTAGATTTCTTTCTGGACTCCTAATTCTATTCCATTCATTGATCTGTGTATTTGTCCTTGGGCCACAGTACCACACTGTCTTGATTACTATAGATTTGTACTTGCTTTTGGAGTCAGGAAGTATGCATCTTCTAACTTTGTTCTTTTTAAAGATTATCTGGGCTATTTTGGATCTCTCAAATTTCTACATCAATTTTAGGATCAGCTTATCAATTTTTGCAAAGACATGAGCTGGGATTTTGATTGGGATTGCATTAAATGTAGATTGATAGGGTTAAGTCTTTAGATCCATGAACATGTGATGTCTTTGTATTTATTTAGGTTTAATTTCAACAATGTTTTGAAGTTTTCAGAGTATAAGTTTTATACTTGTTTTATTATTTTTTGAGACAGAGTCTCACTTTGTTGCACAGGCTAGAGTGAGTACCATGGTGTCAGCCTAGCTCACAGCAACCTCAAACTCCTGGGCTCAAGCAATCCTGCTGCCTCAGCCTCCCGAGTAGCTGGGACTACAGGCATGCACCACCATGCCCGGCTAATTTTTTCTATATATATTAGTTGGCCAATTTCTTTCTATTTATAGTAGAGATGGGGTCTCGCTCTTGCTCAAGCTGGTTTTGAACTCCTGACCTCGAGCACTCCACACGCCTCGGCCTCCCAGAGTGCTAGGATTACAGGCTTGAGCCACTGCGCCCGGCCTACTATTGATTTTTTATATTGATCTTTTCTCCTGTATCCTTGCTGAACTCATTTATTAGTTCTAATGGTTTTTTAGTAGATTCCTTAGGATATTCTATATACAAGATCATATCATCTGCCTTTTTGTTGTTGTTTTCTTGCCTAATTGTCCAATGTCCAGTACAATGTTGAATAGAATTGGTAAGAGCAGATACCCTTGTCTTGAGTTAGCTGCAGGCTTTTTATAGCTGACCTTTATCAGGTTGAATAAATTCTCTTTCTATTCCTAGTTTGTTGAATGCTTTCTTGTCATCATGAAAAGTTACTGGATTTAGTCAAATACTTTTTCTGGTGGCTATTGAGATGATCATATGTTCCCCCCATTAATTAGCATATTATATTGATTGATTTTTGTATGTTGAGCAAACCTTGCATTACTGGGATAAATCCCACTTCGTCATGGTGTATAATCCTCTATGTGTTCCTAGATTTCAGGGGTTTGTTTTGAGACAGGGTCTCTATTTTGGAGTGCAGTGGCGTCATCATAGCTCACTGCTTGCTACCTGCAACTCCTGGGTTCAACCTATCCTCCTGCCTTAGCCTCCCAAGCCAAGCAGCTGGGATTATAGGCATGTGCCACTGCACCTGGCTGACATTATTTTTGGAGTTATATTTTCTTGTAATAATGTTATATTTCTCTCATTTTGCAGTGTGTCTTTGATCCACAAGGCATAAAGGATTTATTCTGACATGGTCTATGAAGTAGGTCTCTGATGTTATCTTTTTTCCAAATAGCTACCCAGTTGTCTCAGCAATATTTATTGATCAATTCATAGATATTTATTTTTGGAAGTGATCAGTATAGCACTGGGAAGAGATGAGATCACTGAGGAGTATATTAGAGAGTGAGAAAATAGGGCCTAGGCCTGAGTTTTCAAAGAATCCCAAAATATCAGTTGATAGTTAAGGATGAATCAGCCAAAAAACTGCAAAGGAGCATCAGAGAGATGGGAACCTGGGGGCCTGAGGACTTGGGAAGGGAGTCTGAGTAAAAGGGAGACCCTGGCTGAGCCGAAGCCTGCAGAGAGGTTCAGGAGGATGGGGACTGGAAGCTGCTGTGCACCAGGCCAACCAACACGGTCGTTACCGTGGACCTTGGTGACTGCGGTTTGGAGGAGTGGTGAGAGCAAGTGCTAAATCAGGGTGGGTTCAGAAATGGGCGAGAGGTGGGAGATGGCAAAGCATGACACCCATTCAAGCAGCTTATCTGTGAAGGGAGGGAGAGTGAAGACAGCCCGGTAGTGGAGGGGAAAGTGGCATCGAGGAAGGTTTTAAAGATGGGTGGAATTCTTTTTTATTTATTTATTTATTTATTATTTTTTAATTTTTATTTTATTTTATTTATTTTTATTTTTTAAATTTATTTTAATTTATTTTTATTTACTTTTATTTATTTTTATTTTATTTTATTTTTTTAAATTTTATTTTATTTATTTTATTTTATTTTATTTTTTTTATTTTATTTTTTTATTTTATTTTTTTATTTTTTTAATTTTATTTTTTAATTTTATTTTAATTTAATTTAATTTTATTTTTTTAATTTTTTAAATTTTTTTTAATTTTTTTATTTTATTTTATTTTATTTTATTTTATTTTATTTTATTTTATTTTATTTTATTTTATTTTTTTCAGAGTCTCGCTTTGTTGCCCAGCTAGAGTGAGTGCCGTGGCGTCAGCCTAGCTCACAGCAACCTCAAACTCCTGGGCTCAAGCGACCCTGCTGCCTCAGCCTCCCGAGTAGCTGGGACTACAGGCATGCGCCACCATGCCCAGCTAATTTTTCTCTATATATTAGTTGGCCAATTCATTTCTTTCTATTTATGGTAGAGACTGGGTCTCACTCTTGCTCAGGCTGGTTTTGAACTCCTGACCTCGAGCAATCCTCCCGCCTTGGCCTCCCAGAGTGCTAGGATTACAGGCGTGAGCCGCGATGGGCGGAATTCTTGCACGCTCAATGCCAACAGGAAGGATCCAGTGAGGAGGGAGATGCAGAGGCAACAAGTGAGAGAGATGATGCATGAAAGGTTCCTGAGAGAGTGGTGCGAGATCTAAAGCTGAGGCAGAAGGACCTGCTGTCTGTCGCAACAGGAGGGGAGGGTGGAGATAGAACTTTTCACCCCTTCTTGTCCTCAAAGTAGCAGTAGGTCTGGTGCTGGAATAAGGATTGAAAAAAAAAAAAAGCAATAGGATAGAAGTGATAGAGGTAGGATGGCAGGTGCCTGTTAGATCCAGCAGAGCTCAAGGGTCGTGTCACTGAGGAGCTTGCTGAGGTGAAGGTGTGGTGACCATGCTGCAGGTCCAGAGGACTGTCGCCATCTGGTCCCATATTAGGACCTTTAGCTGAGCTGCTGCACCTGGCGCAGGGGCCAGGGATTCTGCTTTTCATGGCACATTGCTTCTCCTCCCCCTCCCAGCTTCCACCCTGGCTTTGTTTATTGTCCACACTAAACCCCTCCAGCCATGGCCTCATTGCTGTTGCCACAGTGGCGCAGAAGGCCTCCCACCCACTGACCCCCGGTGCTCCCAGGCTGGCAGAGTACCTGGTACTCGGAGCCACAGTTGTTCTGATCCCTGTTGGAACTGTCCTACAAGCAACCCTAAGCCTGTGGCTGAGAGGGTGAGGCGAGATTGTCCAGGCACTGAGTTCTGTTGCTGTCTCCTTGCGAGGGCATCCAGCCTCCTGTGACCCCAGCAGGGAGATCTTTACAACTGATCCATCACACTGGAGCCTGTGAGGGTGCAGTTCGGAGGTGGAGGGGATCCTTCTGTGCTCGCCGTCTGACTCTGTCCTGGGCATCCTCTGTTCCACAGGGGCACATGAACTTGCCTGACTCCAAGGACACCTGGATAGGGGATGGGCAAGGCCGTCTTGCAGTGAGGAACAGTCACCTGTACCTTGCTAGGTCCTCCTGGAAGAGCTCAGCCTACGGTGAGTACTTGAGAGTGGGGCATAGCCACCTGCCTGGCTTGGGGACTTAGGGCTGGTGCCGCTAGATCTTAGGGAGTCACTGGCCTGAGGGTCTCAGCCCCCGTCTCCGTGTCTGCGGGAGAGCTGCTGCTGTGCTGAGCCCCACATACCTGTTGTAGGCCGCAGAGCCTCCCTGGGCAGTTGCTGCTGCTGTTCTCCATCCAGCCTGTCCAGCCTGGGGACCTCCCTCTCCTCCTCCTACCAGGATTTGGCCAAGCACATCGTGGACACTTCTATGGCTGATGTGAGTAACTGCTCCTCCTCCTCCCGCCATTCCTTTGACCAGACCTCTGCGGGGGGGAGGAAGAGAAAGGAGGAAAGAGCTGGGCAGACTGGGGCCGCCAGGCTTGTGGGCGTCTTCAGCAGCTCTCCCCCTTGAGAAGAGATGAGTCCACTAAATGTGGGTCAGACTGCCTAAGCCAGGGCCCAGTGTGAACTGCGCCTACTAATTTGGGTGTGGCCTTGTGTCCCCAGGTAATGGCTGCTTGTTCGGATAACCTGCACAACCTCTTCAGCGGCCAGGCAACGGCTGGCTGGAAGTAAGTTCCTTTGCAGTGTCTTGGCCCTAACCCTGTTGTCCTGCGTAGCTTCTCCTTTCCCTCCACCCTGGCTTCCTCAGGTTCTCACCCCAAGCTCTTCCTTTGTGACCCCATTTTTTTTTTTACCTCTTCCTCTTTCCTATCCTTGGTGTTTCCCCCTAGCCATCAGGGCGAGGAGCAGGCGGTGCAGCTTTACTTCAAGGTGTTTTCTTCTACCCGGCATGGCTTCCTGGGGGCAGGTGTGGTGTTCCAGCCGCTGTCCCACGTGTGGGCAGCTGTGAGTGACCCCACCCTCTGGCCCCTGTATCACAAGCCCATCCAGACAGCAAGGCTGCATCATCGGGTGACCAACAGCATCAACCTGGGTGAGGCCAGGGAAGGCAGGCTTCTGTGGGGCCTGGTTTCTGGTGTGTCCAGTGGGCTCTGTCGGGGGACAGAGGTGAGGGTTGGAGGGCAGGTACCCAGGCTGTTCAGCCTAGGTCTACTTGGGTGCCAGGCTGTGGATGCTGGGGTGAGAGGGGGCTCCCAGGCCAGGAAGGATCTAAGGCTAGGTCTGTCCATGGCCTCCTGACTCTCCCGTCTGTCCCTCCAGTGTACTTGGTGTGCAATGCCTCCTTGTGTGCACTGAAGCAGCCACGGGATTTCTGTTGTGTCTGCGTGGAAGCCAAAGAGGTGCCTACCTTGGTGGTGGTAAAGATGTGGGAGAACTTGGGCTGGAGTGTTGTGAAGACCATCTCTGTGGGTGTTAGGTCCTCTGGAGGAGGGAGGGCAAATGGGCTGGGCCCAGGGTGGGGTGCTGGAAGGCCTGCTGTCCCACCACACGGACTACACTGAGCCTGCTCCTGTTTTGTCCACATGACAAAGGCAGGACTCACATCTCCTTCTGTCTTCAGGGGCAACTGTCTATCGTAGCTGTTCAGTCTGTGTATGACACATCCATGCCAAGACCCAACAGAAAAATGGTTCGAGGGGAGATCCTACCCAGTGCCTGGATCTTGCAGCCTGCCACCATGGAAGGGAAGGAAATCACCAAAGTCATCTACTTGGCCCAGGTGATACGCCCCTTGGAGCTGACCTCCCGGCACACCCTGACTTGGTCCCACAGAGCCCCTGGGATTTTTCTGTCCCTCTTTCAACATCCTTCAGTGCCGAGGCCAAAGCTGGAGCCTCAGGAGCTTCTTGGGCTTGCAGTGAGGGGAGTCAGTGAGGAAAGAATGAGACAGTTTGACAACCTTTTCTGAAGCTGCTATTATCAAAGACCTAGCAGCCTGCAGCAGATTCCAGGGCCCTGAGGAGATAGATGAGTCATTGTGAGGCTAACGCAACAGCCTCAGTAGAGCAGAATGAGGACCCATTCCCAGTACCCCGACTTGAACTTTGTCATTGGGAGGCGAAAGCTGATGCTTTGATCTGAACAGCAGAGCCCAGGGGCCTGAAAGGCCCAGCTCAGTAGAGTGTGAGGTGCTTGTCCCATCACCAGACAGGGGTGGCTACTGGGGATCCAGGGTGCCCTGGCATGCACTCTTGATCTGTTCGCACCTTTACCTCTTCCCTCTCTGCTTGCAGGTAGAGCTTGGTGCTCCAGGCCTCCCCCCTCAGCTCCTAAGCACCTTTATCAAACAGCAGCCACTGGTGATAGCCAGACTGGCTTCCTTCCTTGGCAGTTAGCATCTCGCCGTCCAATGGTGCTGCTGAGATGCAGGCCCAGGATGCTCCAAAGAGAGACTGCAGCAGCTCCTTGTTACCTTCTGTACCTTGATGCAAGAAGAGCTGAGGCTGTGGCCGGTTGGGCAGACAGCACTGGCCCGGGGTTGCCAGCGCAGGGCCCAGTCAGTGCTTGGTGACAGCTGGCGCCACTGCAGAGTGAGCGGCCTGAGCTCCTGGCGCTGGCTGTCCAGAGTGAATGAAGTTCAACTCACCTTTTGGAATTCTCTTCATTTCCTGTCTTTGGGATTCTACAGCAGACAAGCCACTCAAGGACCAGGGCTGGGCACAGCCAGCAGAGCTGGGGGACTGCAGAGCTGTAGCGCTTCCTCAGGCTGCCGGGGAAGCAAGCAGCCATCGGCCAAGACTCTGCTCCGAGTCTGCCTCCAGCGCCCAGCTCCACTGTGCGATGGAGTATTAGAAAACAACAAACGGAAAAAGGGTTTAAAAAAATAGCTGCACAAACCAGAACACCGATTCAGGATCTTTTCTCCCTCTGCATTTTTACAAAATCCTTTATTGTTCATTTTTGGTTTTTTTCCCCTTTCCTTTCCATCCCAGGAGAGGACACTTGGGTCTTTGCATCAGAGTCAGGAGCGTTGAGTGATGCTGTTATGGAGCTGTCACTCTGCACTCAGTAAAATGGGAGACCATTGTGGAACCAGGTGGGACAGATTTGGGGTCCCGGTAGGGGTCGTCTAACCTTTTGAGGACTGCCGAGGGAGGGTAGCAGCCAGATGCTGGTTGCTGACAAGAGGAATTTTAGAGATTAAAAATTGTCCTTTGAAGACGAGGGAGAAAATAAATGAACTTGGGGGGGGGGGTTGTGAGTGACGTGTTAGGAGGAAGTGCAGTTCTGTGTCTTGCCTCGCCTCCTTCAGAGGTGGTCTCTTGAGCATTCCATGCTGCTGCTCTGGCCCCACCTATTTTGGGATGGGATGCAGAGTGGATTCAGTTTGCTTGTACCTTAGCCTGGCTGAACGTGACCTCTGAATACTGTTTACCTGGAAGTGGTAGTGACGGGAGAGATTCCCATCTTCAGTTCTGGTGCCCAGAATCTTTGGTGGAATTGGGTAGCGAGAAGATACAGTAAAAGGGGAAATTTCTGTATAGTGCAGCAGAGATTTATTTTTCTAAAAGTGTTTGCAGGGTTTTTTTTCTCTTACCTCAGATTAAGTTATTTATATATTATTGATGGTTTTTAAAATTGCTTCTAAACTTTTATTTTTCTGGTTAATTTTTTTGGTGACATTTGATATATTCAACACCCTATTTATGTACTCCCACTTCTTTTCATATAAACCTTTATGACTATTGACCAAAAAAGTCAGAATATTTGTAAATTTAAGTCCTATGTGTACTTTTACCTGAAGTGAAGACTGTCCTAGGATATGTTGCCAAGTATGTTATTTGAGTGTGGCAGAATTTAGCCTGGAGATCACACTGGCAATACCTATTCATGGCCCAGTTTCAAGCTATTCAGTTTACATGTATGTACTAAGTGCTTCCTGTGAGCTCAGCACTGCTTTGTAAGGTAAACAGCAACCAGATCAGTTGTTCGGTTACAGCCCAAGTAAGACAGGGAACGAGGATTCCAACACAGTCACTGCTACATCTCATCATGACCACAGTGCAGAGCCAGCTGTAGGACTCTCAATGGATGGATAACCAGGAGGTGACCTTATGCCCCTTACTAGAGAAGCCACACACCAGACCTGATTGTTAAGTCTGAATATTAATTGATCTTGTAGCAAAACATAAAAGTGAGAATCAGATTTTGATTTAGATGGGTGGTTCTCAAATTAGTAGCACACATCAGTGTCACCTGAAGGCCTTGTTAACACCTGAGGCTCGGCCCTACCCAAGCTGCTCATTCAGTAGGCCTGGGGAGGGGCCCGAGTATTTGTATTTCTATGTCCCAGGTGACCCTGGTCTGGGAACCACACTTTAAAGCTGCTGGTTTAGACAACTAGTAGAGACAAGATACATGAGAAGGAATCTGATTAGTTCCCTGGTCCATTAGCTGCCTGTCTCTGTAATCCTTAGTGGCTTTTAGGGCTCACACAGGCGAGGAGAAGTTTCCTTCACCAGGACCACGTTAAATTTCCAGATTCCCAAGAACTTGGTTTTAGCTCAGTGGGCCTTAAGCCAGGCCAGCTCCCAACATCTTTGAGAGCTTTAGGCTTTTCTCTCCTGCTGGTCCCATGTCACACCTCAGCTGGATCCTCTGGAACAAGTCAAGAAGCAGCCATAAGCCTCAGCTTCCTGGGATATTAGGTGTGGTTCTGTCTCTGGGCATAGAAAGAGAAAACATTTCTTAAAACTTTGTTTCCCAGGCATTTGGAACAAATTGGATTTAAAGGACAGAGATTAAGAAAAAAGGTTTGGATGCAGAAACTTGTTAAAGGATTGACTGGGATGAGCAGAGGGGAAGGGAAAGGCATAGTATTTGGGAGAAGGATGATCACAAGGTGGTAACTGAGAAACACTCCCACTTTCTGGGTTGATGAGATTTCCCAGTTTTATTATGGGAAGTGGATCACTCTAGGGAATTATATTACCACTCTTACAATCAATGGTTCATCTAGAGATGTGGTCTTGACAAGGGTAATTCAGGAGTAGAATACAGACTAATTCTGAATCAAAACACACACCCCAGCCCTAACAAAACAAGCATAATAAGAGCTGCCCCACCGTGTGGTTCAGTAGGGAATATATTGTGAGTGGAAACTGCATATTATCCTAAATCTTTCTCCCACATACGAAAGGGAGGTGCCCAGGCAAAGTCAATACTATGGGCAGTAAATTAATAGCAGAGACTGGCTCTCAAATGGAACATGCAGGCATTACTATGAGGCAAGGCAGCTGACTTGAGCAGTACACACAGCCAAGCCGCTCTTACAACTCCCAACCTAAAGCCCACCTGTGACTTTGCAGCCTTTTAAAGGGAAAAGACAGGTGAAAATAACTAAACATCAGCCCTTGTTAAAGAAAACAGTTTATTTTTAAAAGCTCTAATGTTCTGCCCTGTGCTTGGTCCTTGGACAGAGATGGGGGCCTAAAGAGGTCCTACCTGCACAGGGGTGAAGCCAGGTTTCACTTGGGTGAGTCCTATCTTATCTGTTGTGCATTTTTAAGGAACTGGCAGTCCAGCTCCTGGTGGTAAAAAAAAAAAAAAATGCAGACTCACAAAATTCATGTTTTAACTTTCCTCACAAGTTAAAGCAGAAGTCATTTACCTCTGTCATGATTTCCCAGACCACAGTTTTAAGAGATGCTGGAATAGCAGCAAGTGAGGCTTGACTCCCGTGTCGACAAGACCACACCCCTTGTTTTGTTTAGTATCCAAGTGATGAATGCCAACTCTTCTGCTCCAGGGCTGGAGTCTCTAGGCTCTTCCACCATAATCCTGAATCAGGTGAAGGCTCCTACCTCAAGGATTCGGACGGCGAGCCTGCATTGGTGGGACGCCAAGCAGCCCCCGTTTCCTTCCCCCCTGAGCAGGAGTTCTGGATATAGAACCAGCCACGCTTGCACCAGCAAGGGCCAGCACTGGGCACCTGGGGTGGCACTGGGCTCTCGGGCCTCCTCCTCAGGCCCACGCAGGGTTCCAGGGCTTTGGTGAGACGTTCAAGGCGGGGTCCCTCCTCAGTCCTAGCTCTGGGCCAGCACGGCCCCCCGATTTGGCTGCACCAGCTCACAGACTCTCAGCTGGGGTTCTGGCAGATGAGGCTCTGCCAGAAACAGATGAAATAGTGTGGCTAATTCTTCAGAGAAGTCCTGGAATAAGTAGAAAGATGACAGAAAAGGCAGATAATTCTGGATGGTTCATCCTTTTTACTACGGATAATCTCGAATATCAAGCCCTACCTAACCAGTGAGTACTATAACCGGGCTGTATTATTTTTTCCCAACTCCTCTCTACGATGAAATGACATGAAACCTTATTAGTACTTTGGGAGGCTAAAGTGATGGCAGGGAGAGTGAACTCTGATGGCATTTCACCAACTACTCAGCACATCTATTTCATCTTGAAATTATTAATCCTATTTTATAGATGAATAAGGTTAATCACTTTGGCCAAATCCCTCTACATTTTAAGTACTAGCTGAGATCAAAATCCAGATTACTCTGATCTTAAAAACCCACACTTGGCCGGGCGCGGTGGCTCACGCCTATAATCCTAGCACTCTGGGAGGCCAAGGTGGGTGGATCACTCAAGGTCAGGAGTTCGAAACCAGCCCGAGTAAGAGCAAGGCCCCGTCTCTACTAAAAAATAGAAATTAATCAGCCAACTAAAAATATATATAAAAAATTAGCCAGGCATGGTGGCGCATGCCTGTAGTCCCAGCTACTCGGGAGGCTGAGGCAGTAGGATTGCTTGAGCCCAGCAGTTTGAGGTTGCTGTGAGCCAGGCTCACGCCACGGCACTCTAGCCCGGGCAACAGAGTAAGACTCTGTCTCAACAACAAAAACCCACACTCACTGTGCCTAACTGCCTTCCCTCCCTTTTCCCTGTCCCCTCACGCAGTAGCTACTCTGAGCTGAAGGCGGTCAGCCAGAACTCCTTAATTTCAGGGTAGTCCTGAAGACACTTGACAAAAATCCACCAACTTTGGCCCATTAATTGCCCCCTCCCTTTCAGGATGAATGGGATCTACGACACCCATTCTCTCCATGTGGGACAAAGACGAGGCCTCCTTACCCCTGGCCATTGGGCCTCACGGAGGCTGCCCAGGCAGGCCTCGATCTCCAGCCGTCCCATCAGACCCTTCTCCACCAGTTCCCGGAGCAGGAACAGCAGCAGGTCCCACTGCAAAACACCGAGGAGGATGGAACAGTGGCCCTGACTGACACGCTGATAGAGGGACTCCATTTACCCATGAGTATGGCACAGGACGAGCAGAATAAAGGGAACTAAGCAGCTCATAAAATCAAGGATGACGGTTGTAAGAACGTGACTGCGGATGGCGATGAAGTCTTCGTCCCCCTACCCGACTCACCTCCCTTGGCCGTGTGTCTGCCAGAAGCCCCACGTTTCTTGGGCTCAGCAGTAGCTGTAGTGGAACTGGCCCCTGAAAGTCATCCTTCCACAGGGCAAGCAGCATGAGCAGAAGCCTTCGCGCCTGCCCTCGCTCCAGCCTGTGCTGTGCAGGGGGCCCTAGGACGGGAATTTGGTCTGCAACTATGGGCAGAGAGGAAAGCCAACTTTAAGGATGACAGCAGAAGAGGGCTCTGTTTTTCTCATCTTGCCTGTACCCACCCCTGAGATCTGGGGGACCTGGCAGGACAGTGACTCGATTGGAAGGAACCATACCAAGGAGGGAGGCTAACTCCACGGAGCACTTCGCCAGATGTTGCTCAGCAGGCGGGCACAGGAACTGTGGGGAAAAAGAAGGGAGACCCCAGACACTGGCACCGCTTATGCTGTAAGGACTGACCCTCAGTCAGCGTGGCTCTGGTTATTAGGTCTTAGACACAGACACACAGAAAAGCATCCTTCGTGTGGCAGATGCCACGTCTCACCTGGCGACACCGCAGCGTCTGGCCCAACTGGCCTAAGAGCTGCTCCAGATGCTCTGGGGAGACTCCCTCCTCAGGGTCTCGGGGCCCCACGGCCAGGGAGAGCACGTCCTGTGGAGAGCAGGGTGAGACCTCACACCGCGTGCACGCTAGGACGCCACAGGGGCTTCAGCGTGGGGCGGGTCAACCAGTGCAGAAAGGCAGAAGGAAAATAGGGCCCTGGAGGGTGAAGTAACTGGGCCGAGATGTCCCTAGACCTGGGACCGGGGCAGACAGCACAGCCAGAAGCAACCATGTAGACAACAAAAGAGGGACAGATGGAGCAGGTGAGCTGAGGGACAATGTGCTATCAGAGAACTTGACAGATGCCACTTAGGACAAAACTAACAGACGCCCAGAGGGCATCTTAAAGCATTTAGGGAAACTGTCCCATCAGATAGTCTTAATATTTTCTATGCTTCTCTGTTCATCTTGGGAGAGCTGAGGTTTCAGTACAGAAATCTCTGCATGCTGAGCCAGTAGCTAAGAGCCACTAGGCCTCCCCCCCTCATATATTAATATAATCTCCATTTTCACTCCCTGCTGCTTAGTCTCTATTCTGAATCTTCATTCCTAGATCATTATCCTAGATCAGGGCCAGACAATAAATATTTTAGGCTTTGTGGGCCATAAAGTCTCTGTTCTAATTACTCTGCCACAGTAGCACAAAAGCAGCCACAGATGACTTGTAAACGAATGCACATGGCTGGGTTCCAACATAACTGTTTACAAAAACAAGTAGTGGGCTTAATCTGCTCCACAGGCTATTTGCTAACCCCTGCTCTAGACAGTCTGAATTTTAAAAATCACAATTATTCTTAGCCTGTGACTAAGCATTGCCTCCCACACAGAACACTGTTGAAATCATATCCAAATATTGGGGTGACTGTCCTTTAGAGACTCTTCTACTACACTTAACCCCACTCCCATAAGCATGTGTGTAATAAACATTAGTCCAACATTTCGTATCTACCCTTTTCCCCTTCTGAGTGATTCAAATAACAAAAGTCACAATTAGGAAAACCGTTCAGTTCAGCTCTGCCCTACCTAATCCCATTCGGCAAGGAAGGGAACAGGCGCTAGCAGGACAACACAGAAAGCTGCCACACAACACTGGGGCTGATGCGAGTAAAGAAAGGAACCAGGAACAGAGCAGGGCAGGGAAGCCGGAGAGAGTAGGGTAGCTGTGTACTTTGATCTCGGAGATGAGGTGGGAGGGGAGGGGAGCGTGGTGCTCACAGGCGTGGGAGCAGCCCCTCCGCTCCCCCCAGGCAGCAGGTTCCGGACCCTGGGCTCGGAGTGTGCGACTCACTGCCACCTTCACCTCCCTCCTAATCAGCGCTGCGGGGCAGAGGGAGAGCAGGAAAGGGGTCACCGAGTGCCCTGCACGGGCTCACCATGCCAACCCACACCCTTCACTGTTCCCTGCTTGCGGAGTCCCATCTCCCCTGACTGCTCCAATGCCCTGCCAGTACAGTTTTTAAAAACTTGCTTCAGCCACTCCCCTTTCCCAGGCCTCACCTGTGATGTTGGCAGACAACCAAGCACACGCTTTCTCTGTCGCGAGCCCCACGGCAATGCTCTCTGCACTGCTTAGAACCTGTGAATCAAAAGAATGCAGAGTTAGGCCAGGGGAGGAGGGGGTACAACAAAGGCTCCCAGAGCTGGACCGACCCACCACCCTACAGCAGCCTCACACAGGCTACCCGTGCGCCTCCCCGCTACGACCGCCTGGCCTGCTACGTACAGCTGCCGGGGTCTCCTCTGGAAGCAGCGCCCGCACGGCTCCAGGGCTCTTCCTTTGGCAGAACCTAAATGGAGACAGATCAGGGCAGTGACGTCTAGATCTGCCAGCCCGGCCCAGGCAGTGACTGCCCTGAGTGCGCCCTGCACCTGACCAGGCTCTGCCTCAGGAGTTGACACTGCCCACCCTCCGCCCGACTCAACACCGGCACTTGGGCCACAGAAGCACTCAAGCCAAAGACGGGAGCCCACAGAGGAGCAGGGGATAAAAGAACAAAAAGAGGTGTAGAGAAGACATGGAAGAAAGGATGTATGGAAGAGGATGAGAAAGACTGAGGAGAGTCAAGGAGACACGAGGGGACGAACGGACTGGTGTTTCTTACTCCCGCCCCTGGGTCAACGCCTGGGCCCCGTGGGGGCACAGCTGGGAACACAAGATCTCCAACAGGTGGGCTGGATCTCCCCCTTCCTGTCCCTGCGTCACCAGCTGCTCCTGGAGAAGTAACTCTGCCTGGTGCACCAGATCTGCCACCAGCGTGGCCCTGCAGCAGACACAGCAAGGTTTGGGGGTAGTTGGAAGGGCTGAATTGGAAAGGGGCTGCAAATTCAAGGAAATTTGGTCAGAACTTCCTTCAAAGGGGATTAGCGATTTCAGCCCAACCCCTGTAACGCCCACCACACCAGCTTTTCTCAGTTGCCACACTGAGGGGAAAAGGGGGGAAAATGGCAAGGGAATTAGACCAGGACCCTCCAACAGTCTTACTTGATGTGTTTGACACAGTTTGATCCAATCCTCTCTGCCACAAACTCCACAGTCCTGCGCAGGGAGGGTGGCTGGTTGTGGAAGAAGGCCTGGGCGAGCTGTGCCTGCGGGCAGGAGGGGACAGGCAGTGAAGGCTTCCCTCAGCCTCCTCAGGGGGCTGCCTCCACCCTGCCCTTACCTGTAGCCCCTGGCCGGTCTGGGGAGGCTGGGCTCCCAGGCCAGTGGTAGTGGTGGGGGTGATTTTCCTCACGAAGCCCCCACTCCGTCCACTGCTGCCAGACACCCACGAAGCAAGCAGTTTCCGGAGCTCTCCTGCATCAGGGAAGTCTGAGTTCTTAGTTCGAGAACCTCCCTCCACTCCCCTCCCCAAGCATCCTGGATACCAAGTATTTGTGGTATCCAGGCAATGCCCGAGAACCTAACAACGGAGTCAGGCCAGTGACGGAGTCAGGCCAAAGGACACTTCGGGGCACTCACCGATGTAGGGGCAGCAGGTGTAGAGCAGCTGCTGGTCCACCACAGGCACACTGTCCTGGGGTAGGGAAGGCCAGTGTCAGGCAGGCAGGCTTCCCTCCCTCCCCAGTGACCCCAGAAACAGGACGGTCAGGCAGGCGAATTCCAGGATGGTTAAGTCTCCATCCTGGGTTGTCTCCTGCTGAGCCTTTCCCAGCAGCCCACTCCCTTTATTCCTGGGGTTCCCATGGCTCTGACTGGAACCCAACACTCACCAAGCCATGCTCTGAGGCTACCGTGTCCACCTCAAAGGGATCCGACTGACTCTCTCCCAGAAAGAACAAGTCCTCAGGGACTGTGGGAATCTGGCAAGAGATGAAGGCAGTCGCAGCGCCAGTCTGCACCAGAGGCTATCACACCTCCCAAGCTCAAGGCGCCAGGCTTTAGGACAGGTTGAAAGCGACCTTCTCTGAAACTGCAGCAATCCCCACACCTCCTCCGAATTTCCACCTCTGGCCCCTGCGTCGTTTACACTCAGACATGTTCCCACGCCCTCCATCTGGTCCTCACTCTGCCCACCTGGAAAAGCCAGCCCAGGACAGCAAGCAGCAGCAGCTTGTTCAGGAAACACATCTCCCCTTCATTCTCCTGTGATAAGACCAAGCTCCTAAATGGTAAACAGACGGTGTGAATGGATTAGTGCTAAGAAAAGAAGGCCGTGGAGCAAGCGAAAGCTCTCACTGGCAAGGCTGTTCTCAGGAACAGACCTAAAAGGGACTGTTGGCATGTAGGCAGCCAGGAGCGCCTGTTTCCCCTCCCATGTCTGTGTTCCCTCTCATCTGGGCCACCTTAGGAACAGAAAAGGGCCGATGAAAGTACAAGTAACTGCCCACTGTCTGCCGTTGAGGAGCAAATCCTGCCTTTCCTCCGCGGCGGCAGGCATGAGACACAGACCGCTCGGCCCTCTTCGTGGACAGTGGGCTCAAGCAGTGCTCCCGCCACCCCCTGCTCTTTTAAGCCTTAGCCTTCCTCTACCCACCGGTGCAGGTGCAGCAGGACAGTGAAGACGCTCCGGTAATAGTCCAGCAAGGGGACAACGTGGTCGGCAAAGGAAAGGAACTCCACCAGCCAGGGCACGGTGAGCACTGCCCGGCGGGCCCGCAGCCCCTGCTGCAGCAGAGCACGCACATCCAGGACCGGAGGGACCTGGGAAGGCCAGTGGTCATTCAGTGGCGGGTCCTCAGGAGGGACTGGTAATGCCCTCTGACCTGCCTGGTTTCCAGAATAGCCCAGGAAACCAGTCCACTTCAGTGCCTTGCTGGTCCTCCCAGCTCCCTCCTTACCAGCATCTCCCACCCATTCACCTGGCTCCTCAGGGCCAGAATGGAGTCCTGAAGCTCACCAGTCGGGGGTGGTTCAGGCCCCCGGTATGGCAGGAAAGCCACAAAGCCCAGGAATTTAGCCAAAAGCCTCAGGCTAAGCAGCACCACAGCGAATTGCCTCCGTTCACCCTGCATGGAATCAAGGGAAGTAAAAGATCCTAGGCATAAGACTTCTAGAACAATTCCAAATCTGTTGTAAAGTTTTTCTTGAACATACCCCTTCCCTCCTAGTCACGGCCCATCAACTCCTGTGCCCCATGTGTCCTAACCTGCCAGTCCACGTCTGACTCCCCGTCGTCACTGGGCTCGTGCTGGGGCAGGGCCAGGCCGTTGAGCTCCCGGATCTTCAAGCTCAGACTATCCATGAGATGCTGGTTAAACTGGAAGCTGGGGAGGGGGTGGGTAATCAGCACTAGACGAGGTGCAAAAGAACCAGAATCAAGAAGGGCTGCTCCAGGCAGAGACTCAGCAGGGTAGACAGGGAGGCCACGGAGTGATGAATTTAGCAATGTGGTCGGAGAACGAGACGTGAAACGGAGTCAAAGTGTGAGCTGGAAGGAGCCAGACATCACCTGGTCCTTGCCGTTCCACTCCAGGCAAAGGAGGGTAGGGAAAACTCTTTAGGCCTTTGGGAAGCCAAACCTCTCCTGGCCTCTGTCCCATACCCTGCAAGATACAGGGGACCTCTACCTGCTGGCACTAAGGATGAAGTCCCTAAAGAAGCCTTGACAGCCTGGGAAGGTGGGGGGCGGGCATGGCCCCCCACTGCTCTGAGGGGCCACCAGCCGTTCCTGTAGACGTCGCAACCGCCCCAGCTTGTCAGCTCCCAGCATGCTGAGCACATCTGGAGCCTCGCCCAAGACAGCAGCCCCAGCACCACCAGGGTGCTGACACATCTGGGGCAGGGTGGGGAGGAGAGAGGAGAGAGACCGAAAAACCAGTAAGTGGGAGAAGGACTAGGCAAAACATGGAGAAAGTACTGCACATTTATGGAATGCCAACTCTATCGAGCGCTTTAGATACTTCTTTTAAGGTAGGGATTATAGTCTTGTTTTACAGGTGAAGAAACTGCAAGTGCAAGGTTAAGCATTTGTCTAGGGTCATTAGAGCTAGGATTTGAAACTAGGCCCGAGTACTAAACACAAATTGAGGAAAAGGAGGTGGTCACGAGCTGGGTGAGGGTGTGGGGCACATCAGAGAACACTCTGGTTTTTCTCTGGCCACCTGAGCTTTAGTTGCTACTCAAGAAGTAGTAGACTCCTATTCAAACTCTAGCCCAGGATCTGCCTGGCTGTCTACCCTGTCCCAAAGTACCAGCCATTACTTAGCTGCCAATAATACCTACTGTTCTTGTAGATTCATCTCCTGCTGGGGCTATTACCTGGAGAAGTTGTTTCTGGAAAAGGCGAACAAAGTGGCTGTGGTTGCAGGCTGCGGAGAGTTGACCCATCATGGCTCTGAGGAATAAAAGGCAGGAATAGGGTGTGCAGGAGGAAGTAAGAGAGAGAAAGATCTGAGAGAACAAGCTGGTCTTGTGCTTTTTGATCCTTTCCCAGGGACTTGGACAGACCTCTGTCAAAGTGGGCCTGCACAGGGATACGGAAAAAGGTAAGGGACCTTTCCTCACCAAGATCTCTCGAGGCTAGAGATATACTTAACCAAACAAGACATAATGCCAGCCCTGAAATCTGCAGTACACACTGAGTGCCAGTGAGTTTCAGGATCAATGCAGAAGGCAGATGACTGGCCAGAGGGTGTGCATTCTGCAGCCTAGTCATCTACCTGTGCAAAGTGATCAGACGCACCCAAATTAGATGATGGAGAAAACACCTTGGAGGGGTCTATCCAGTGACTAAGAGCTTTACACTTTTCCAAGCATTTGCCATTACAGAACAAGTACGAGGCACTTCTGAGTGGAAGGACTTGGAGAGACCAATCCCCTTTGAATAGAGGCAGAGTTGTCAGGAACTATAGACATTAAAGAGGCTTTGGGCTGGAAGGAGTGGGGAAAAGCCTCCCCCAGTCAGCTCCTCATGCAGCACTGCTGCTCACTGCCAGAGCAAGAGAGACAAGGTGACCAGTGTGAGCACCTACCTGATCCTGCTGCCCAAGCCCTTTTCAAAATCCCAGCCGGGCTCCTCATGACGATCTTCCCACTCTCGAAGCACCTCATAAAATACGTCCCTGACACACAGAGAAATGCCTGATCTGAGAAATGCCTGAGGCACAGCTGCCTCTAACTCATTCCCAGTAGTGCTTTCCCTCACTTGCAAAAGCTGAAGACAGGACAGCCCCATTTTTCAATCTCTCCCACGTTCTCTGCATGATGGTAATACTGCAGGAACTGAAAGTCCATCCTGGCACACCTTGTCTGAGATCCCTGAGACTACAGTCACACACCTATGAGAAGGCTGCCTAAGCTCAAGGGTTCAAGTCCAGGGACACAAAATAGAATGAAGCCAAGTGGCCCTTATGATGGCTGGCAGGAAGGCCCTGGTGATACTAACCCACCACCTGTCAGTGCCAAACTCCTAGTTTCTATGAAAACAAAACAGCTGTCTATTAACTTCATTCCCTCCCCAAAAGTTCCCTTTTTCTTATCACCTCTGTTTTTTAAAAGTGTGAAAGGCTCGGTCACTGGAGAAGTTGGCACGATTGTCAGTCTCTGGCTGAAAGGAGACAGCTTGAGCAGAGGGTGGCATCGCAAGAGACACCTAAAATATGGCAGAGACATTAGGAACTGAAGCCTGCAGGGTGATCCTCAGAGAACTTCACCCCCTTATTCCAGCCCAGAGTTAGCCCACATGACACTTGAGTGTTGTGAGCAGGGTGTCCTGAATGTGTCAAAGCTGGGAAGGGGCAGGTCCAGAGCAGCAGACATCTAAGCGGGGGTCACTACCTTGGCAGCACTGCCTTCGTAGGCAGCTCGAAGGCGGCCTTGCAGAGCTGGTGAGAAGCACAGCAGCCGCTCATTCTCTGCCAGCAGCTTTAAGGTCCCTTTGTCCAGGTGGGAAAGGACCCTGCAGGAACAATAGCACATATGACTGAGACTGGGACACAGACTGCAAATAGGAAGCAGGCACTTGCACACCACACAGAGCACGTCAAGGCATGGAGCAGGTATGTAAGCCCAGATATGTATGCAAGGTCATGGGCTGAGGATCAAAGATGATGGAGGCAAATGGGGAAGAAATGAGACCTTCAGAGCAGGGACTGGGAGAGCAGGGCAGGAACATTAGCCATAAAACCAAACAAAGGTCAGCTGCCAAAACCACAGGGGTCCCTTTGATTCTTTCAGGGGCTAAATTCATAGCCTTGACACAAAATTAAAGATTACAGGTAGGAAAAGGTCCAGGGCCACTGCACTTGTGTTAGGCACAAACATGCATCCAAGTGGCAATGCAAACAATGCCCAAATGCTTCAGCCTGGGAAACTCACTGAAACTGATGTTCCAAAACCTGCACTGCAAAGAAGACACAATCATGGATGCTCTGAAACAGCGGATTTTCCAGGGAGTCTAGAAGGATAGTACCAAGCTGTCAGTTAAGAATTGTCTCATCTCCAGATCCCATTTCTCAAAAGGAGGCTTGCTCACTGACCTAGGGCATCTGGACTCGGTTCATGGTCATTGTGCTTGGCAGCCACCATCCTCCGCGCAGTAAGGAGCTGAAGGACGAAGAAAAGCTCCAAGAAGAGGTTTGGTACCAGGTTCTCTGGATATAAAGAGAGATCCCATGGCACTGGGCACCATTAGGAGGCAAGGCTCAGTTATGCCTGCCTGATCAATTCTCTTGCCCTGCAGTTCTACAGGTGTCTCCAATCCAGCTCTCTCTGCTCTCACTCACCAGCAATGCATGAGGAGTAGACAAGGGCTACCAGCTCTAGGCGCTGGCAGGAAGACACTCTGGCAGGGTCAGCAGGCTCATCTGTGAGGCTTCCTGTCCGGCTGGGGAGTGGCGACCCCGATTCTGGGGTGGGACAGGTGGGGACAGGTGACTGCAGCAACTGTTTAGAGCTATGGGAATAAAAAGATGTTATCAGCAGTCAGCCTGGCTTCCCCACCACAGCCACACTGAGGTCCCTCCAGAGAAGACATCAGCAGCCCAAGAAACGAACCCAGAATCCCCAGGGGGGAAATCAATTCCAGGGAAAAGCCCTGCAGATGTCCCCACAGGGAGGAAGCTAATATTCCGGGGAGCGGCAAGGCCATACCGCTCCTTCCTGAGCATCTCCCGCTCCTCTTGCAGACTTCTGCACCCTGGGGGAAGGCCAAGGCCCCAAGGGCTAGTGTCCAGGGCTGAGGGTTGGGAACTGGGGACACAGCTGATTGGGGGTGAGGTGAAGCAGGTCTTGGGCTTGGAGAGTGACCGCTCTTCGCTCACCGGAGTTGGGTTGATCCTGCGTGAAGGCTTCGTCCTGCTGAGAGTAGCCACAGGCTTTTCTCAAATTCCTATCTTCAAACATATCCCCTCCACAACCACAACAGCTGGGCCTCTTGCAAACCGCTCCCCTCCACCCCATTAGTTATCTCATCCCCGACCTTCTAACCATTCCCGTGCTCCACTGCGGAACGCCCAGCCCTAATTTACTGACTCCCCTAGCCGAGCCTGAGCCACCCATCTCCTGCATGAGGGCTGCTTCTCACCCTGCAGGGCCGGGAGGAACCGAGCCTACGGGAGGGAACTCCTCCAGGTTGCTGAGGTTTGGTGGATCAGAGAGCGCGAGGCTGGGACTGCTGGGGCTGCCAGAACCCCTAAGCCTCCGGCCCCCGGCCCAGGGCACGCTCTCCCCGCTGAACCCCTCCTCCGGGGCCCCCGGGCCGCGGCCTCCTCGCTCGCGGGCCGGCCCCGGGCACCGCCTCCTGCCCCCGCGGCGAGCCAGAGGGGCCTCGGCGGCGGTGCTGGGGGCTTCGGTCGGAGGGAAAAGCTGGCTGCGCGCCCCGCGGCTACCCCGCGGCGGGCCTCCCGCCCTCCCGGGCAAGGCAGCCGAGGCGCCCGGGGCCTTGGCGGGGGTTGGGGGGCCCTGCGGGAGGACGCGGCTGCTCTGCTCTCTCAGGAAGTTCAGCAGGAACGGTACGAATTCTTTCCGCAGTGGCTGGAGTGAGCTCAGCGCGGCCGCCTCCCCAGGGTCATCCTGGGGAAGAAGCAGAGGTCGAGGGGCAAGAGGGTCAGCCGCCAGCCCCGGGCCGCCGGCCGCCGGGGCCGCAAGGCGCGCCGAGGGTGGGCGGCCCAGGCACCGGCGCCCACTCGGCCCGGGCGGGCAGCCAGGCACCCAGGAGGAAGGGGACTGGCGGGCTGGTCTCTCCCGCGGGAAGCAGATTCCGGTCATGCCTGGGGGCGTGTCAGCGCCGTACCTCCGAACTCTGGGCGCTGCGCGCGATCCACCGCACGGCTGCTTCCACCGACACCTCCTCTCGCAGCAGCGACTCCAAAACCGCCGCCATCCCGGTCGGGGCGCCCTGGGGCGACTGCGCAGGCGCCGGCGCGCCACGGGCAGCTTGGGAGGGGCGGGGCCGGCGGCGTGGAGCGACCGTTGGGTCGCAGGGCGGGGCCGCCGGCGGGGCGGGGCCAGGGGCGGGGCCGGCTCTCGTTCGGGCCTGTGGTCAAGGCTTCGCTGGGTCCGCGGTCCCCGCAAACAGACCCAGTGGTAGATAAAATGCAGACGCACAGCCCCCAGTGAGGCCCTGCCTCGGCTGCGCTGGCCCGAGGGGCGACCCGCCGGGACTCGAGCTGGAACTGAGGACCCCGCGGGACGGACGCAATTCTGGGGAGACCAAGGGCCCAAGAGAGTGGACAGAGGGTAAAAGTGAACAATTCTCCGAATAGAGACACACCACCCTACATTTGCTCTGAGCACACTTTCAAGAGTTAAGTTTTCTAGATTCAACTGTCACCACCCTAAAGAGGTTATGAAATTAACATAAGCTCTCATTTTGACCTTGTCTTTCTCAAAGGCTGACTTTTCAATCCCTTGGCCAAGCAGTCAGTATTCACTGGTTTTCCAGCGTTCACCATCAATTGACCATTTAGGACAGAATTCTTATTGGAAGGCTTTTTATACTACCCAAGCCACAACAATCCATAAAAAGTGCCTCAGGCCACCCTGCACACAGAACTGCTTGCTTGTAGCCTTATTTACTCCTTTACACATTATAATAATAAGTTTACATCAGGTTAACATTTCAACTACTTTGCAGTTGATAAGTCAAGAGGCATATTCATGATTAGTTTCTGGGAGCTTGAGTTATTTCTTACTCTCTCTTATTTATTTTTTGAGACAGTCTCACTCTGTTGCCCAGGCTAGAGTGCCATGGCATCAGCTTAGCTCACAGCAACATCAAACTCCTGGGCTCAGGTGATCCTTCTGCTTCAGCCTCCTGAGTAGCTGGGAATACAGGCATATGCCACCATGCCTGGCTAATTTTTTAAATATATTTTTAGTTGTCCAATTAATTTCTTTCTATTTTTAGTAGAGACGGGTCTCGCTCTTGCTCAGGCTGGTTTTGAACTCCTGACCTTGAGCGATCCACCGCCTGGGACTCCCAGAGTGCTAGGATTACAGGCGTGAGCCACCGCGCCTGGCCTCTCTTATAATCAGGAGGGCTTTGCTTCCTGAGCATTCCTCTGGTTCAAAGGAAAGGTTACAAGCATAAAGGAGAGAGGGTGGGGTGAGCAGGAATCCCTCTAGTGGTACAAAGGGTGTTTTCCTGTGGAGAAGGAAAAAGTACCTCCCGCCAGACAGAATGATGTGCTGAAAGGGAGCTTTCAATACTTTTATTACAGGGGAACCATCTCCTCATATTTCTGAACCCTGGTTTTCACCTGCAGGGGCACTGAACACCTAGTTTCTATTCAATCCAGAGCTTCTTTTTCTAGGTCACTTGTGGTACTGCAATTACAGTAACACTTTCTGTTCCCAGTTGATCTTGTAACCTCTGGTGCATTCAACAACTTTATTAAATCGAAAAATAATACTTCCCACTTTTGAAATCCAGACCATCACACAAATAGAACTAAAGTTTGCATGCGGAATGAATATTTTATTACTAGATTATAAAAATAAAATACAAAATAATTTTAAAACAGAACTTAAAACACTGTACAAAGCTTTAATATGATACAAATGGGAAAATTAAATAAATAATTACACTTTTATGTACAGATGGTCTATACAAAAGCACTCCATGTTTCTGCCAATACTCTATGTCCTTGGTTGCCTGAGCAAAATCATATAAAGGGAGCTACTTGGAGGGGAAAGAGACACAATATAATATTGTTGGTGGTATTTCAAATAGCAGTTTCTCATCTCTGATAGCAAGTAGAGAAGATAAGGAAAGAAAAGCGAAATTATTAATTATTAAAGTCATCTGTTCTAACTCATTGGTCTTGTTCAAGAAGAGAGAATTCTGCTTTGTGGCTGAATCTGATTTAACAGCTACCAATAGCTCATAACATTCAAGATTTATATCCAATTTCAATCTAGATGTTTGCCCCCTCCTTTTTTCCTAAAAGTTGGGAATTTGTAAGTAAATGGCCCAGTGAAATAGGTGCTGGCTATTTCAGAAAAGGAGCCAGAAGGGGTACCAGGAACTGTGTAAAAGGGAGAATGAAGGGGCTCAAGCCTGCATCATCTGATCTGTTCTCTTCGTTACTCAATCCACCCAATCCAATTTCAAAGCCACAAGTGGTCAGTGTTATAGTTCCTTTATCTTCCTATCTTTGTATTTCTGAAAGCTTTTTACCTTAGTGGACTAATATACCTATCTGTCGAATAGTTCAAAGAGAAAATTGTTTTGGAAAAAGTCCCAAGGGCTTTCCCCTCCATGGGTAGCTCCCTAAAATAAATCACATTCAAGTTCTGGTAGCCTTGTTTTACCCCTTGTAGGTGAGTGAAGAATACCCAGAGTCCAGGTATGGTGAAGTGCTGTGCATGAACTTTTAAGGATTTAAATAGTATAAGAGGAAAAAAGCATCATATGGCAAGGGTAGTCTATATAAAAACTTTGTTTACTCAATGTTTTTAATTAGGTGAGTGAACACTTACTTACACAATACAAAACAATATTAAACTACTAAAAAGACATGTAAAAATCCTACCCATTGTTATGGAAAATTAGGTCATCAGCAAATTCTATAGTCACACAGGCTCAAAGATTTACCTCATTCAATCCTGTTCTCTAGGTTAGAAGAGATCCAGAACCTTTGGCCCAGGGTATCTCAGAGACATGGCCAGCATTACCAGTGTGAACACTATGCCCATGCTTTTACTTCTTACTAAAGAGGAGGCAGAAAACTGCTAAATTGCACAAGGCAATAAAAGGAAAGGCTTTACTTCTTTTACATGTCTCCTTAAGACCAAGGGTCCAGAAAAGTTTAAGGAAATATTCAAATCATTACTGAGTAACTTAACTTCTTTGCTATTCAGTGTCTTGCGAATGTGTGGAACCTCAAGGTGATCCTGATCTTGTCACATACTTTACCTCTCTGATCCAACTTTGCTCAAGGGGAATAAGCATCAAGCTTACACAGTTTTAAAGGAGAAGCAAATCATCACAACTGACTTAAAAAATGTCTTGATGGGCCAAGACTTTAATGTTATCATTTCATGTCCAGCCAGGGATTGAGGTGTGCAGCATCCAAATTCCCCTTTAAGTGAACAGGGAAGCTTGTCCCATGTCCTGGAGTTACCTAAGAACTACAGGAATTCCCCATGTACTTCCTATAGTTTTCCCTAGCAATGTTGGGCAACAGATTCTGAGACTATCTTAAATTTCTCATAATTTCAGAGGCAAGGCCAAAATAATGAGAATACCCAATGATATGATGTGTTTCCACCTACTTTTACATCCTCTGGTCCATGCCAGAGTTTTATTGGGTGAGGACAGGGAAATAAGATATCCCAACAACCACCAAGGATTTTCAATATGCTATATCTTCCCATAGGGTCTGAGGACTGGACCTACCTGTAGTACCCTTATCTAAGTTAAGATCTAAAAATGCATCTGTGGTTTCTGAACGTGGGTATATATTGACATGTAAAGAGTACCACAGAAGTTACATGCCTTAATCCTGAAATACTTTTTCATAGATCGGTAGCTATTCTGCTAATATACTGTCTACAGAACCAAACTCAAGAAACTTAAACAGTGCAACGGTAGCTGTCAACCATTCTACCTCCTCAGTGATACAGATGCTAAAGTATCTCTCCCCTTAGGCAAATCCCAATACATCTATGGTAAATACACATAAACAGAAATGGGCAGATTTTAACAGAGTATAAATACAAACAACTTAATTTCAAAATATATGAACATAACAGAAGAAATGGTTCTTTAACATATGCCATGTATTGATAGAAAGGAATGGAAAAAGTTTTTAAAATATTGAAAAATTCTGATCTTCAAGACTAAATCTAGACTTATCTACAAATAGATATATTTCCAAATAGCCAGAGTAAGATGTGGTTTTTTTCCCCCTAAGTCTCACTAAATTCTGAATTCTGGATCCTGTTTCTCTTGTCACTAATTCCTAATGTTAGATTAGGAATGTAAAAATCATCTGCTCTTGGGAAAAAAGCATCTGTTTTTAATTCAAAGCTATTGGGTATAGAAAAACTAATTATGGTTTTAACTATCTGTGTGTGGGTTTATAAAACATGCACCAATGTACACTTTTCCCTTGTAGATTGAATGCAACCATAGAAACATTAGAATAAAAATCTGTGGCCTGGAAGGAATCTCTGGTGACTACTGAAGAACCTCAATGTTCCCACTGTGGCTAGGGGCTAAACAGAAAGAGATATTGCACATCTAGAATACTGACTTAGTAAGCAGCTGAGATTTGTTTAGTATTTGAAAGCAAATGATATAAAGTGGATAATGACTATAGTGGGTCTCAATTACCATTCTGCTACTTATTTAGGACTTGATTAACTTGGCAACTTTTACAAAAAACATTCACTTCACAACATGCAACTTAAAAAACAGTAAATGTAACTATGCCACTATTAGCAAGGCCAGCTTGCATACCAGAGTTGAGAATGAGAGTGCTTGCTTGCCTAGGGTTTAACATTCAAAGATATTTGTAATCTGTATTTTAAAGTTAAATTTGAAATGACTCAATTTTCCTTCTTTGTTCACTATACATTAAAGTTAAATGCCTTTAAGCTGTGTAAGAGATTACTATGTGGGATTTTAATATTTCAACCAATCCATACACCCAGGAGATTTGGTGGCATAATTTAGGAGGAATGTTACCTAAAGGTATTGAGCTGTTGCTAATTCTATCTTCTGTTCCACCCAAGTAATTCCAGGGACTGGGCAAAGGCTAGTTTAACGCGGTAACCAGCCATTCTGTTGCGACAGAAGAAACTAGGAGGTACTTGATTTTCAAAAGACAATTTTAACTTTTGCTCCATACTATTTTTAGTATATAGTTTGGCTTGACTTTAAAGGCATGTCCGTCATCTTAGGTAGAATAACCAAATTGGTTTAAAATTACTCGGATGATCTATGTCACTAATTTCTGAAATATGCTGGCACTAAAAAACTCAAAAATAAATAAATAAGAACTAAAAAAACCAAAAAACAAAAACACCAAACCAAATCAAACCATAAACCTCATTCTCTGTATTGTACTTTAAAATAAAACAAAAATAAAAATCTTTGTGCCCAAAGTGCTTGCTCAGGTTTGCAACTTCTATTTTTAGCCTGAGCAACATCTAACATCTAAAAGCACAAATTATGCTTTTAAAAACCATAAATAAATCTCTGTATAAGACAGTACTTCTAAGCAGACCTATTGATACATAAGATATAATTAGTCTGTTTTCTTTTGAAAGTATCTGAGTAGAAACATCTTTGGTTAACTCTTTCCTCTATAGACAAATAAAAATTCTTATACAATGAGGTTGTTTATCTTAAGTTTGTCAATGCTATTTAGAAAAGGAGGCAACACAGTGGGAAGGTTGAGGGAAAAATGTAAGGAGAGAGAGAGAGAGAGAGAAAACATTCAGTTGCCACATTGCCCTCACTGTCAGTTTTAACTGCCAGCACAGAAATGCCGACAAGAAATAAAATCCCACACATACCACAGTTGCAGCTTTATCAGCTTTTCCAGTGGTTACTATTAGCACATTCCTGATGAAAGGGATCAGGATTTAAAGCCAGCTACTTTTTAGCATATTGTAACTAATACAACAGGATAAAGATAATTTTATTAATTATCCGCCCTACTGTCCCCTACAAAAAAGGTGAGGTGAAAAGAAGAAAGTAGAATGGCAATTTTTAAGAAACATTTAAAAAATCTATTTATGTCAGACCCATGATTATCAACCCAGTTTATCCACTCTAAACATAAAGACGAAATTATGTGATTAACATGACAAATCATTGAACCAGTATTACAAGCATGTCCCAGTCATTTTTTTCCCCTGATAAAATCTTTTTTTTAAATGAAAAATAACCTATCTTGGCTTGTTAAAGACTGCCAAACCTTGCATTATACACAAGTAAGGCAAGAAGAATCTGAGGTGTCACATGCCAAGAACATATTTTCAGAAAATGAAGATAGGCAAGGCCCAAGTGTACACGAGGCACACAACAGAAAAGGAATTTCACCACCTGTGATCTTGAAATTACAAATGGAGAATGAGAACGAATGAGTTTATATAAGCATATGTCTCTCTATATATTTATAAATATTTATATAATTTACCATGAAGACATGCAAATAGTGTTATAGCAACTATTATACAATAAAATACAGAAAGACAGGTCTTCCAATATTACAGTTGCTTTAGATAAACAGTAGATATGTCTTATCTATTGCATTCCCCTGTAGTGTTTGCAACTGAAGAGAAATTAAGATTCCACGTTTCTTTTAAGAGACCTTATATGCCTCAATAGTGTTTTGAGTTTGTTTTTAAAAAGCTCAACACAGATAAAGAGAACAAGTTCAGTGCAGCTTCAGGGCAGCTTTGATGCAGCATTAGAATATGTTCACTTGGTGAGGAAATGTATTTCTTTCTTTTTTTGTTTTCCAATTCAACCATATTAGGTTTGGCAGCAAACACAAGGTCACACAGAAAGCACAGATGTTTGCTAGAAGGCAAATTTCAACAGTAAGCAAGACCAATTTACCTGACCTCAATAAGGTCTTTACAACACAAAACACCCCAAGAGTATAAAAGAGCCTGTTTAAAAAGTCTGGTATACTTTAATTTTGCCTGATTCCTGTTAGCAGAAGAGTGAGACTAAAACAAATATGGTCCTCCTTATAGCTTTGTAAATTGAGATTACGTAGAAATCAGGCCAAGAGGCCCAAATATTAAACTAAACTATAGGAGAAACAGGTAATAAAACACTAAAAGAAAAATATTTAGGCTAAATTTATTTCCCCAGATATTCATTCCTTATTGGCCAAATGTATAAAATACAAAGTTTGAGGATTATAAACCTCAATAACTGCTTCCCTGGTATTATCTTGGAGGTTGACATTAGAAATAGTTGCTACCTAGAAGACTTAAGGAAGCAGTTTATTCTGGTCAGTTTCCTTCTACAAGGAAGAAACTTAACAGAGAGGAAGAAAGTTCTTCTATCTTGAAGGATATTACCCCACACTTTAACCCTCTTTCCCTAAACACTAAAGCCTGCAAAGTAGCTCTGATGAAAGGGATCAGGATTTAAAACCAGCTACTTTTTAGCATAATGTAACTAATACAACAGGAAAAAGACTTTTCTTTCCTTCATGTAAGTGTCTCAGTTATCTTTCACAATAAAAATGTACTAGGTTAGGACTGTTGCTCCCTCCCCCCAAAATATTAGGGGGCTGAGAAAAGGTAATTGGATTTGAAATTCTATTAAGATGTGTTATTAAAATAAAAGAAGAGGGACTGAATCAGGCGAGAAACACTGACTTTTAAAAATGTGTAATCCAGGGAGGGTATTAGGAATGAGGCAAAGTGAAGGTGCAAATTCTCCGTACACTAAATAAACACACAAACCAAATATACATGAGTCCTGGCTCCCTGGCAACAGACTTCTTACATAATTTAATATCTGAACAATGACTCTCCAGGGTTCGGAAGTTTTGAATGAAAATATCAAACAAGAAGTTTCACTTTTGCTATATAATCTTTGAGTAGAGGCTTAAAAAATTAGGCAAAACCCCTTAAAATTCCATTCTAACTCTTCAACGGCAGCTAAAAAATGAAAGCTCATTTAATCAGTTTCTCCTCCTTGGATTTTGCTGGATTGTCCCTTCCTATACAAAGGCATTCATTCCTGATCTGCTTGCTGCCTGCCATAGGTCATTCCTTATCACACATTTATGTCTTCTTACAAATAATTGATCATGTTACTTTCTTTTGCAAGAGAAGATCAAGACTGATTTTTTAAATAGACAGTATGGGGACACACATGCATTAGGTTTAGGAGGAAGATCTCACACCTTTCATAGAGATGCAGCCGGCTCCTATCTGCTGAGTTTACTGGCTGGCTTATTCTTCCCTGGGGGGGTTTTAGTGCTGGCTGAGTGGTGGTGGAGGCTGCCGGATCCTTTCAGGCCATTCTTGCTGGGTTTGCAATGCTCCTGTTGGCAGGACCTCCTGGAGGAGGAAGATCCTGAGTGGCTGGGAGGTGACTTGCTTCTCCCCAGATGTGGGGATGAACTCCTCTGGTCATGGTGGGGCCGTCCAGCCCTAGATGGTGAGGAACTAGACGTGCGAGGCAAGGATGAGCTTCGAGGAGAGGCACTGGGACTCCTCCGAGGGACAACTGGACTCTTGGGTGGTGTTTTTGGATTATGAGGAGATCCTGGACTCTTGCACTGAGTAGTACTCCGGGGTTTCTGAGATCCATTTTGAAGAATTTGGGCCAGGCGGGAAAAAAGGTCTGAGTCGGAGTTACTACTCCCTAGAACTTTATATCTGCGTAGCCTTAAAAGAACAGAGAAGACATGTTTTCATTTTAATTCATATTTAAAGTGTGCCTAAAAGACCCAAATCATAATATGTATATGTGTGCGGAAATCAGAAAATACAGTAACAAGATACAGAGTTACTCTTTCATGTACTGGTTGTATGACCCTGAGCAAGTTATTTAGCCTCCCCCAGCTTTCAAAGGGAATACCACCTATCTCACAGGGTCACTGAGTAGACCAAGTACAGGAACCCAAGTACTCAGAGGAATGTCTGCCATGCAGAAGCACTTAAATGATGCTAGTTGCCTTCTTCCTGTGGCATGCCCACTCTACTAATTTGAAGATTAATTTAATGAATTGTCTCTAGCATGTTAGCACATGAGAGAGTAAATCATATTGTATAAGGCTGCTAGGACAGGAATTCTGCAAACATTAAATCCCATAATGTAAGTCTTCCCACTACACTCACCAATAGTAGGAGCTACAGATAAAAGTACACTCTAACCTCACTCTCTGGACCTCAGTTTCTGCCTCTGTCATTAGCCTGGCATTCAGGAGAGGTGGGTGTGGGCACTGACTGCCTACCTTACTGGCAACTGAATTCTAAATCTGGAGAGTATTCATATTAATAGCAATGTCTTTTCTACCATAAATGTCCTTCTGGTTTGGCCTAAGACTCAGATAAAATGGTACACATAAGTGTTTTATAAACTATAAAGTGCTCTATAATAGTACTTTAGTGGCAATACTAAATAATGTGGTAATAAGGGCCTTAAAGCCCTTCCAATAATAAAACTATGGTAGTTAAAAGTGTACAGTAAAGGAATAGACAAATGAATGGAACAGAGCATTGAATCCCAAAAGATATTCATGTTTTTATGGGAAGTACTGAGATATCACTTCTTAGAAAAAAAACCTTCATGCCATACACACTAATAAACTTTTGATGGATTAAAAATCTATACACAAAACACAAAACTATAAAGGTATCAGAAGAAACTACCTTTTAAAAAAATTTTAGGGTTGAAGTGACCTTCTGAAAGATGATATAAAACACAATTCATAAATGCAATCATTTCCATTAACACTAACTTTTCTATCACACAAAAGGTACCATAGTCCAAACTAAAATTCAAACAACAGATTAGGATAAAATATCAACATATTTTGCAGAGAAGGGTGTTAATATTATAATTAAGCAATCCAATAGAATGTTTGACATGAACACGGCCAACAACTCATAAAGCATCTCAAGTAAAAATATATATGAAAAGATTTGTCTCATGAACAGTCAAATACAAATTAAAACAATGAGATTATCTGCTTGTCAGACTGACCCCTACCCCAATTTTTTTTTTTAAGACAGTGTCTTGCTCTGTCACCCAAGCTAGGATGCCATGGTGTCAGCCTAGCTCACTGCAACCTCAAACTCCTGAGTTGAAGCAATCCTCCTGCCTCAGCCTATCCAGTAGCTGGGACTACAGGTAGGCGCTACGACACCTGGGTAATTTTTTCTATTTTTAGTAGAGATGGAGTCTTGCTCTTACTCAGGGCTCAGGCTGGTCTCGAATTCCTAAGCTCAAGCAATCCTCCTGCCTCAGCCTCTCTGAGTACTAGGATTACAGGTGTGAAGCACCACACCCAGTGCCCCCAAATTTTTAAAGTGATATTATCAATTGCTGGTAAGTGTGTGGAGAAGAAACCTCATATACTATTGGTATGAGGATAAATTATTAAAACAAACTTTTAGGGTGGCCACTTTGAATATGTAAAAACTTTAAACATGCAAACACTAGCAATTATACTTTTAAGCATCTATCATTTAGAAATGTGGGCAAAGATGCCTGAAAAAAGTCTATGGTCAAAGCTATTCTCTGCAGCAGTGTTTTTTTTTTTTAATTTTTATGAATTTTACTTTAAAATTATACTTTTTCTTTCGAGATACAGACGCTTCTTAGAAGTCAAATGCAGCACTGTTTATAAAAGCAAAAATGGGCTTAGCGTGGGCTCATGCCTGTAATCCCAACACTTTAGGAGGCTGAGGTAAGAGAAACACTTGAGCTCACAAGTTGGAGGCTGCAGTGAGCTGTGATCATGCCACTGTACTCCAGCCTAGGTGACAGAGCGAGACCCTGTCTCTAAAAAACAAACAAAAAAATAAATAAAATAAAAGCAAAAATGGAAATAAGTGCCCATTAATAGGGAAATGGTTTAATAATTTATAATATATTTATGTCATTAAGATTTTTTTTCTTTTTATAGGCCCCAAGATTTACATGGAATCATGGAGTATTATAAAGCATTTTTTTTTTTTTGAAGAGAGAGCTAATGGTGAGAGGTAGGGGTCTTGTTTCATTCTTCTGCATGTGACCATTTAATTTTCCCAGTACCACTTATTGAGTAGGGCTTCTTTTCCCCAGTGTATGCTGTTGTCTGCTTTGTTGAAGATGAGTTGGTTGTAGGTAGATAGTTTCAATAAACTGTGCTGGGAAAATTGGATGGCCACATGCAGAAGAATGAAATAGGACCCCTACCTCTCATCACTCACAAAAATTAATTCAAGATAGATAAAAGACTTAAATCTAAGGCATGAAACCATAAGAATTCTAGAGGAAAATGTAGGAAAAACTCTTCTAGATATTGGCCTAGGCAAAGAATTTATGACTAAGATCTTAATGGCAACAATAAAAATTAATAAATGGGATTTGATTAAACTAAAAAGCTTCTGCACAGCTAAGGAAACAATCAAGAGAGCAAACAGACAACCTACAGAAAGGGAGAAAATATTCACCAGCTACTCATCTGATAAAGGGCTAATATTCAGAATTTACAAAGAACTCAAGCAAATCAGCAAGAAAAAAACAACCCTATTAAAAATGGGTAAAAGACATGAACAGAAGCTTCTCAAAAGAAGAAAGACAAATGGCCAATAAACATATGAAAAAATGCTCAACATCATTAATCATCAGGGAAATGCAAATTAAAACCACAATGAGATATCACCTTATCCCAGTTAGAATGGCTTTTATTAAAAAGTTCAAAAACAATAGATGCTGGCATGGATGCAGAGAGAAAGGAATGCTTACACACCGTTGTTGGGTCTGAAATTATTATAGTACAACCCTTATGGAAAACAGTGTGGAGATTCCTCAAATAACTAAATGTAGACCTACCATTGACAAATTACAATAAAGCAAATACAGAAATAATGTTACACACTTAATATAGGGAGTATATACAGCATTACCTGGCTTCTACTCCAGGTCTTGTGGGTGGCTTTCCTGGTGGTGGCCGAGGCAAGAACTGAGATGAAGTTGAGCTATTGGTTTGATCTGTGTTGACCCATGAAACTGGCCTTGGAATTTTACTTTTTCTGGACTGGGAGATGATGGGTGACAAAAAGCTATCTTCAGCTGACCTACTCAGGTGAGATTCTACTGCCAGCCTTGAAAAGGGAGTGAAGACTTCCTCCTCAGAAAAGTGAGCTGGAACAGTAGCTAGTTTTTCCTCTAGCAATTTATCAGAGGCACTTGAGAGGTCACCAAGGAAAGACTTGAATTGCCTTTTGTCCACCAGAAGCTTGACAATGTCTGGCTGATAAGCTTTCTTTTGTAGGAGCTTTTCTTTTGCAGAGACTGGAGAGGATGATTCAAAGGTTGAGTCTATCTCTTGTGCTAAAACAGGGATTCGGCTGTGTCTAGTTACAAAGGAGGACCTGACCACCTCCTTCCGAGTTGGGGGACAATGTTCATTCTCCGAAACACAATGAAATAGCTCTCCATTTCTAGGGGCAATTTTATCTCTCTTACCCCCTTGCTGTAAAAAAGTAGAAAGGTCTCCTTGATGACCTGGCGAGTCTTCACTCTTGATGTCACCATTCTTAGATAGCTTACTTTTTTGCATTGCTGCCACCTGGCCTATCTGTCCTTCAACATGTGGGTCAATGACTCTTGGAGAAATTTCTGAAGTTCCAACTGCTAAAAGCTTCATTATCTCATGATTTTTGTCTTGATTTGGCACCACACTAAAAGTCTGTGTCTTTGTCACATCAAGAGGTTCAGTAGTAGCTGAGTGATCCTTTTCCACAGTTACCAAATCTCCTGGGAGAGGGGAGATCTCAACACAATGCTGCCTTTTATCTAACTTCTCATCTTCATTATCTGACCCTAAAAGAATGCTTTTTTCTTCAGTTTCCCCAGGAAGATTCTCAAGTTCTCTCCCAACCAGTCTGTTATGGTCTGGACGGTCTTTTGGTCCCAGGTCTTGAGATTTGTCACTTTCTCTAATATTGGGTAATATGTCATGACCAATGTGATCTGTCTGAAGCCCCAAATCTGTTCTGCTTCCTCCACTAGGAGGTTCACCCTCTGTTACAACCAAGCCAGAGAAGTTATCCCTTGGAGAGTAAAGTTCCACAGTGGGCTCCATGGGCTGAAGATCTTTCTTCTCTGGCTGCTGACCACAGTGAAAGCTTCCTGAAGTTGACTGTGTAGATGCCACAGAAGGTCTAGGAATTGTAATCTGGAGAGGGAGGAGAAAAAATTAAAATGCAATTAGTGAAATACCAATAAAGATGCATAATTTGAGACTTAAAACCTCAAATTCTAATTTATAAGAGGAATAGATGTTAGCTAGGTCTGCTCAACTCATACTAAGAATGAAAAACTCAATAAAAATGAATGACACTCAAGTGCTCCCACTCAGCAACTGTGCAGAACAGTCTCCCTCTAGGGTCCCTGCCCCTTCTTTGGCATGCTCTGTGCCCTGGAAGATGGATTTCTACTATCTGGGCTCCCTTGCTTTCTGATTTCTGGTTATATCTGCTCAGTGGGTGGCAGCAACACAGAATCAGAAGGTTGGAGGAAAGAGGGGACTGGGTAATGATTCTCTCTGCTTTCTCCCTGGGGACTCCAGCTTTGGTGGTGGCTATACTCCAGCATTCTGGACACAGGTCCTGTCTCATGGTCCCTCTCTCATAGCTATGACTCTCACCAGGTTCTGCTAACAGCCCCTCCTTCTCTCCTTCCAGGACTCATGGTAGGAATGGCTCCCTCTATTGCTGGTCCTGCTGACTCTCTCAACTCTGCCCACATCTGTCAAAAGTTCCTTACATTACATGCTCTCTAAGTCCCTTTGAGTGTGCCATCTATTTCCTGCAGAATCCAGATATAAGATTATAGGGAAAATTATTGGCAAAAGATTATTAATTGAGAAACCCCAAATTTTCATGCTTTTTGTTGTTTTTCATAAATTCTACCTACCAAATAATATAAGGAATATTTTATCTTGCTATAAGCAAAGATATACAAAGATTATTTACTAATATTTCATATCTCCTCTAATTTTTTAAAAACTTTTTACTTTTTTGTTTTATATGCAGATTCTAATTCACTCCTCTAATTTTTTAAGATCAAACCCATAAGTAAAATTCTGCTTCTACTGAGGTCATTTCAATTCTATGTAAAGGTTCAATATCTAATAAGAACATCCTTTCTTAAGATACCTAAAGTAAGTTTTCACATCTTCATATTTGTTAAAAAGTGACATATAAAGAGGCTGAAAATAACTATATAAACTGGCAAGGAAAGAAGCCTTTTTGAGAAATCAAATAAGCTCAAATCACTTAATTGTTCTAATCACCTCATTAGTTCTAGGAAAACTGTAGAAAACTGGTCTGAATTCAATGCAAAATGAATTTGAAGCAGTCATGGGAGATTTGGCTTAGACTCAATTTCCAGTCCAAAGACACCAAGAAACCTATGTGGTTCCAGGGTCAGCTAAGGTGTTTACATCTATTTTACTTTGTGTCAGAAATATAATTTGTTTCATGGACATGTAAAGCTTGTCCTAAACCCAGGCCAGGGAAAAAAACACGTAACTAATGTCCTGGAATAGCACCCAAATGAAACCAGGTCCTGAGGATCTTTCAGGTTAATACAAGACAGGCTGTCTGAGTTCATATCTGAACTCTTACCATAAGCCCAGACCTATAATGACCTTGGGAAAAGCATTAAGTTTCACTGGTGCTGTTTCTCTTCAGGAAGCAATCTCTCACTTGTAACTTTCTTTAATTATTCCAAAATATATTCAAGCAGATGGTAATTTTCTAGTATATTGTTTATATGATATTGAAATCTAAAACTTATAGTAATTCACTTTTCAAACTTTACGCAGCCACTCGCCCACAGCCCCAGCCAGAGTAACAGCCCTGTGGCCCTGACCCCAGCAAGCCAGACTCCAAGTTGGCTGATGCACTGTTTGCATACACGTGCCCTTGGTCTGAAAAACAGCCTGGCAAGCTCATTGCTGGCAAAGCCATGCCACCACTGCCACAAATTCTTGCAGCCTAGGCCACTGAGATAGTTGCAAATATCACTAGCATGCATTACAACTGAAGAAACTGCATAAAAACTACACTACTGCATCCACCAAGAACTAGAGTCAATGTACTCCACCTAACTGACAACCCAAGACCCAAGGAATAAGTCTTTCCCTACTAAACTTCTACTTCATAAAATTATAAGAGATAACTATTCACCAGATACACAGAAATCAACATAGAAACATATGAAACATGAAAATAAAGGAAACATGACATCTCTAAAGGAATACAGTAATTCTCTAATGACAGACACCAATCATAAGGAAATATGTGAAATGCTAGAAAAAGAATTCAAAATAATAATCTTAAGAAAATGCAGTGAAATACAAGAGAATACGGATAGACAATTCAATAAAACCAAGAAAACAATTCATGATTTTAATAAGAAATTCAATAAAGAGATAGACATCACACAAAAGAATCAAGCAGAAATCCTAGAGCTAAAGAATTCAATGAATTAAATAAAAAATACAATTGAGAGTTTCAACAATAGACTAGACCAAGCAGAAGAAAGAATTTGGGACCTTGAAGACAGTTCTTTGAAATAACTCAAGTAGACAAAAAAAAAGGAATGAAGAAAACCTATAGGATTTATTGGACTCTATTAAGCAAACAAATAACCTAGGTATAAATTTAACCAAAAAAGTAAAAGGTCTAAATGAGGAAAACTAAAAAATACTAATGAAAGAAATTGAAGAGGACACATGCAAAAACAGAAAGCTATGGACTGAAAGAATTAATATTGTTAATTTAGCTTAAATATCTATACTACCCAAAGTGATCTACAGATTCAATGCAATCCCTATCAAACTACCAATGACATTCTTCACAAAAATTGAAAAAAAAAATCCTAAAATTCATATGGAACTACAAAAAGACTCTGAATAATTAAAACAATGCTAAGTAAAAGAACACAGCTGGAGACATCATATTACCTGATTTCAAATTATATTACAAAAAATTATAACCAAAATAGCATGGTACTAACATAAGAAAAAAGGACACATGACCAATGGTACAGAACAGAGAACCCACAAATAAATCCACATATCTACAGCTACCTTGTTTTTTTTTTTTTTTTTAGACAGGATCTCACTCTGTTGCCTGGGATAGAGTGCAGTGGCATCATCATAGCTCATGGAAATCTCAAACTCCCAGGCTCAAGCACTCCTCTAAGTCTCAGCCTGCCAAGTAGCTGAGACTACAGATATGCACCACCATGTCTGGCTAATGTTTCTATTTTTTGTAGAGACAGGGTCAAGCACCAAGAACATTCACTGGGGAAATGACAGTCTCTTCAATACATGGTGCTGAGGAAACTGGATATCCATATGCAGAAGAATGAAACTAGACCCCCATCTCTCACTCTATACAAAAATCAAGTCAAAATGGATTAAAGACCTAAATGTAAAACCTGAACCTATAAAATGTACTAGAAGAAAACATAGGGAAAATGCTTTAGGACATTGGTCTGGGAAAAGATTTTATGAATAAGACCTCGAAAGCACAGGCAACAAAAGCAAAAAATAAACAAATGAGATTATATCAAACTAAAGAGCTTCTGCACAGCAAAGAAAATAATCAACAGAGCAGAAAGACAACCTACAGAATGAGAGAAAATATTTGCAAACTATTCATCCAACATGGGATCAATATCCAGAGTATACAAGGAACTCAAACATCCACAGCGAAACAACCAACCTGAATTAAAAATGGGCAAATGATCTGAACAGACATTTCTCAAAAGAAGACATACATATGGTTAAAAATATATATGAAAAACATACTCATATCACTAATCATCAGGGAAATGCAAATGAAAACTACAATGGGGTCTCATCTCACCCTGGATAGGATAGCTATTATCAAACGGACAAAAAAATATTTCCTCTAAAAAGCAGTATTAGCAGTTGTTATACTTGAATATTAAGAGGCAATATGAAAAGAAACTGGGAGTAAGATGACCAACTAAAGATGCCTGGCACTTATCCTCCCCACAAGAAAGGACCAAGGTAACAAACAAACAGCATGGATGCCACTGGACTGTCAAAGGAAGAGCGCTGAGGTGTACTGGGGAAGTGCAGAGGTTCCTGTGGTGCTGGGAAGCCCAGAAGGGCAGTATGGAGACACCCTGCCTCTGCAGCCCTGTTTTCCCCACCCAGAGTGGCCTGCAGTCAGGAAGGACTTCCTTTTGCTGGGGAAAAGTAAGCAGAAGAACCCTACCAGCCCCCATTGCCACTGCAAACATCTGCCTTCCTTACTGGACGAAAATCCCATAGTCCTCATAAGGCCTGAGCCCAGGAATTCAGGCAGGGGCATTGCTCCAAATTAGGAGCATAAGATATGCACTCCTCACCTCCCACCCACACTCTGGGAGCTAGGCTGCTGCAGCATCTGCCATTTTAAGACCTTAGCCACCTTTGGAGTGCACCCTGCTCTGAGGGCCAGTAGCCACGGTACCTATTTAGCCCTAGGACTCCATCTTCATTCCAACAAGCCCATGCAGGTGGCTACGACACCACAACCCGAGCTGCTCAGAGCCTGGGTCCAGGATCTGCTATGACTCTGTGCTGCACAGCAGGGAAACTGACCCTCGCTGCCCATACTTCTGGGTAAAGAAATAGTCTGCCAGACACACACATGGTAGACCTGCACCTTGAGCAAGAGAGGCCCCCATGTCGCAAAGCAGCTGACACACTCCCAGGCCATAGAGTAGCTACTTGCCCATGGCAAGTGCCTGAGAAACAACCCAGCAGGCCCACTTCCTCAGGCCTCTCCAATGGCCCCATGCTCATGCCCAGGACCTGAGTGATCTCACAGAAGTAAAAAGTAGAACAGAGATTACTAGAGGCTGGGAAGAGTAGTAGGAAGGAGGGGATAGGGAAAGATGTGTTAAAAGATAGAAAATTACAGCTAGGTACGAGGAATAAATTCTAATATTCTATAGCACTGTAGAATGGCCATAGTTAATAATATATATTTTCAAATAGCAAGAAGGAGGATATTGAATGTTCCCAACACAAAGAAATGATGGATATACTAATTATCCTGATCTGATCACTATACATTGTATATATCAGAATATCACTATGTAGCCCATGAATATGTACAATTATTATGTGTCAATTAAAAAATTTTT